GCAATTGTCGCATCGGGCAGGATAAAGGGAAGTGTACGCTTTGCGCAAGGGTGCTGTTGTTGAGGGCAATTTCGGTCAAATACATGGAAAATAAACTTTGACCTGCCGTATTATCGATGACATGAAGCATCTGCCTGGAAGTGCGGGCCGTCGATTCATCAGAAGGAATTTGACATGGCATCTCGGGGAAGCGTATTGGGGCCCCATCTGGGCCAGTCATATGGGGCCCATCTGGGGCTCGTTACGTGGGCCCCAGCTGGACTGGGCCCGTGGTGGGCTTGCCTAACTGAGTTACCCAGGCGGGTCCCAACTGGGTTGCCCACATGGGAACCACCTGGCTGCCCAGGCGGTCGCATTTGGGCTGCCCAGGTGGGTCCCATGTGTCCCAGGTAAGCCCACAAGGGCCCCACATGGGCTTCGATGTAGGACCCAGTTGTTTGCCCATGACATGCCCCGTATGGGCCCAGGTAGCAAGTCCAGATGGGGCCCTATTTGGTTACCCATCTCGGACCCACATGGGTCCTGGTTGTAACGTTGGATGGGTTCATGTGTGCCCCAGTTAGGCCTCCCATTGGCCCAACAACGGTCACCCATATGGACCCAGGTGGCTTGCCCAGTGACCAATGCCCACATGGGACCAAAGTGGACAACTTGGTGGGCCCCATATGACTGTCCAACTGGGGCCCCATATGACTGTCCAACTCGGGACCATAGGGTCCCAGTTGGACGTGCTGGCTGGTGGACGTTCTTCCACCTTAAAACGCTGGCTCCATTTGTGTGCACATGCAATTACAATAGGGCTGATATGGGCCCCAGCAAATAAGGTTGCACTCCTTTATGTGTTATTAATCTTCGATAGTTATATATTTGCACATCCTTTGGGAATGAATATCTTTGGGTGTGTTTGGCTTAATATTGTTTTCAGGGCCTTTCTGAAATCTGCATAATATTTCAGACCAAATGGTGTATTATATGAAACCAGTTTTGTCGACACATAACGGATGACCCCTTATGACCTCTGGAGGTCAAACCTCTCGATGTCCAACAAAAAGCTTTTACGTATGTTCGTCAGTACACTTTAGACTTCCTGGTATTTTCGTTGGCATTGGCGGGATTCGGATTTCGATAAATGACGCAAGCGCACAAAGTTTGTATGTAAATTTTGGTCAGGTACGAAGCTCTTTTGACAATATGCTCTCACAAAAACCTCGTATGCAGATGCGTGCCTGTACGGTGAAGTACAGATTTTCATCCCTCGTGCTGAGCCTCAGACGGGATGTTACCTATTAGGCTACCACATCCTGTGTGTAGGGGATGGTGGCGAACGGCGGTGGCTGGGAATGTCGGGTCAAATGTTATAACCAGCCCAACTCTTCACGGCCTGAGATGGAACGTCCGTTGGCGGCCACCAAATGAACCCTTTCAATAGGCAGGAGGGGGGGGGGATCCATTTTAAAAGTGTGGGAGGGACCAGACAGAAAATACACGACCTGACCTCCTCTATCAAAAGTTCCCAACGGTTTTGAACCCTTCCATTTTCAAACTTGAAGGAAAGGGTAATTTTTATGAGTTTTGTTATAATCGCACGGTAACGCCGTCCACTGTTGAGGGAATCAAATATGTGCATTATTGCCGGATGCACTTCGTTTGAGCGAAACAGTTTCGTGGAATTTGATATCTTGCTTTTCACATGCATACTGTGGTCGCATTTGGCCATTTAGATGCGATGATAGAGGGAAGGGGAAGATGGGAAACGAGGATAATACACTATCGGCATATTCCAACCTCCATATTCTCAGACAATGACGTCCGCTTTCACGACCACGACACCCAACAAAGAAAATAACGATCTGGGAACTACCGCAAGTATTCAAGAAGGAACCTTCATTTCATATTGGTGTCGATCATGAACGGACTGGCCATCAAATACTACTCCTATTATCTACCCCACCTCGAGGTAATTCCCGCAGTATTTTCGCGTCACGACTGCAGTGACCGCGTATTATTCTCGCTTTTGATAGCTCGGGCTCACCTCCAGTACACTGCTGACCACTGCAGTGGTCTGGTCTGGCCTGATAGCAGGTGCCATTGAAAGGCCACGAGAAGAGTAGTGTGCCAACGCAATCGCCGCCTTTAAAATTCCAGTGGTTTCCATCTTCGCCAATCGTAGATTGCCAATGAGCTCAGACCACGAGTCCATTCACTGGTTGGTCCACGACTGGTCAGCAAAATTACGGCTAAGTCGAACACGTGAACAGAATATTCTTTGCATCTTCGCGCATTGAATCATATCGTCTCACACTGTCACGACATGGATTTCATAGGGAAGGCGACTGCTTCGCTATAAAACTGTGTTAACCTAATTTGAGGGCTGGGTCGAGGGGGCAGGCTAGGTCCGTCATAACCATCATCATACATCTATTTGATGTTGTACGAGACGATGACACAAAAGCAGAGTATGGCAATGTGTCCAGGCTCCCTTTGGGTCACCTCAGGTTCATGTGAGAAAATGTGGGCTTTTACAACCTTTTCCATTTCATCTGGCCATGAAATACAATATATGGATAATGGGTGAACTGTAAGTCAAGTAGCTTTAGTTCACCGTAACGTTATATATATATATATTATATATATATATATATATATATAGTATGCACATATGTGTGTGTATATAATTCGACTGCTAGTGTAGCAACAGCCCAATCCACAAAAGCATCATACAAATGAATAATTCTGCTGAAGTGATCCGGAAACTAACGTGTTTTGTGTCGAGCATACATTAGTGTTTTAAACCTTAATGTCTACCGGGGCAAAGTTCAACAACTAGTCCAAGTATAGACCGAATTGGCAACAGGTCACTCAGACCGCCATTGCGCGATGCACGAAACATTGTGGATGATAAAAACCGGGTGTCCCAAACATGAATATGTCATTTAACTTGGAAAAAGCTGTTTATGCCATGCTTGCTTAGCTCTTGGCATAACGTGTGGTGTCTAAAATGGCTATTATATGATTTTACCTGTGCAGGGTTACATTCACCGTTGTCTAGTTACACTTATCCGATACAGTTTGACAAGATGTTTCTAATACCGTTTTCCCACGGCTCTGTCTTATTCAGTTTCAAGATATAATGGATGTGGGCCCTGAGACCTCTTCTCTAAACTGAAAAAAGTTAAAAATCTATTGTGATCGATTATATCCCGAGACAACCCGGGACGCTTTTTCCGTTCCTTTTTCCGCCGGCTGTCAACACCGAGAGTGTTACAGCCGGCGGAACATCCCAGGTGGGCCTGTTCAACTGACTGAAATAGCTCTGAACAAAAGGTTTGGGAAAATGGCGGGCCTCGAGTGTTACATGGAGGTCTGAGCAGGGTAGGCTGGTGGCATCCATGGTGCCAGCAAGCCACCAGAATGGGTAGCTCCAAGGAGAAGCGAGTGGGGGAGCAGCCATTTCCGGCAAGACGGTAATGAAGCAGACATGTTCCCACTTAAACACGCGCTGGGGTGGAGGGTCAGTTTACCCCCACCCCCACCCCATCCCCACCTGCAGGCTTTTCCACGGTAATTTCTGAAAGACGTGGGTGTATCCACACTAAACTCTGATAGCTGTAGGCAAAAGAATAGCGGATCTTTTGGTTCAAATATTAAGACGTGACCTCGAAAGATCGCTCACTCATGGCAGGGTCAGTCAGGCCGTGCCTGTCAGCAAGACCATTTTCAAGGGAATCCTTAATCTGATGCCACAACGGAGTGTTAGACGAAGCCATGTGTCTCTGAGATAGTTCTTAGACGATAATGACATCTGAATTAAGAATAACGACAAATGATATTAACCTTGGGCAGGTATGAAGGGCAGAGCGAGGGTCAAAGCCAGCCTGAATTTGTACTAGAGGGCTTAATCCAGGGGTAGTTTCTGGTGTTCCTTTAAAATTTATTCATAACAGGACCGTAATAGATATCTCCATGAGCTTCGTAAAAGGTCAGAGTACGGTCACTGACCTGAGATGACCCGGATCCACGTTCTTTTAGGAACGTAGCACCTAGCGTAAGTCTTGACGGCTGTTTTAAATTAAAACAATAGACTCTCCTAAGGTTTCGATCTTCACCATGACCTTATAGCTGCCAAATAAGGTCACCAGCTTGTGATGAATGCCAGTGACATTTGCTAGAACAGATAAGTAGGTTCCAGACGGTTCATGAGGAGGTCCGTGGTATTTTGGATGCCAATAATAGTTTGACCTTGTTTGACCTCATTGGGCCAAAAACTCATGACATAGGAATCTAAAAATTTGAAAAAGTGGCTTCAAGTGCAGGCTGATCCCCTTGTGAGTTTGATGTGTCTTATAGTTTATAGTTTTCTTATAGTTTTTTGTACATCAAAGCGTCAACTTCATCCACTCACCCCGGCATGTGGTAATTCAGCCGGCCACCCAGACGCGTGTTAAGTTTCATTTCCGGTAAAATGGTGTTAAATTGCTCCCCGGTTCGGGTTAGGAGCAAGGTGCTGAGTTTGACTTGAAGACCCTGTGGCGTTTTCCGAAAAATGGGGGCATGACGGCCATCTCCAAAGGATGGCCGGTCCAGATTGGCGTTGGACGAAATGGATGTCCATCAGAAGTTCATGGCTCATAAACGGTGAGATGTAATGCCAATGTTCTCTGAAGCATTTCTATTAAAAATAAGATGAAAGTACGTCATACATCCACTTAATACTTTGCTCGTGTTGGTAACAATGCATTGTTGTATGTGTTACCGAGCCGTCTTATTGATCACCCAAATATGAAAAAAATATGATCACCCAAAACGGTTAACTCACACAGTGCACTGTCCCGCATCGTCTGTTTATTGCTGGACAATGACGCTTTGGTCCCTTGCGCTAAAACCTTCAAGCTATGTTAGTCCTACGGACAGATTTACGTTTGTTAGTGAGCTGACGTTCGGACGTCGGTTCTGATAGCTGGATCCGGCTCTGATCAGGGAACGTAGCTACATCACTCGGACGCCCAGATACATCAATTTATTTATCAGTCTCTACAGTTCTTCACATTGCCAAATCCGCGCAAGAAAGGACGCGGCAAGCGAGCGCGACCTAAAAACGTTGGGCGCAGACTGCGGATCGTTGTAATCTCCACAAGAATCAGATATTGGCCAGGTTTGTTTGATACTGTGATATTGTCAGAAAACGCATAGCGCGTGGAAAACAGGTCGCATTTAGGTTTCTGGCTATGAATCGTCACTAGCCACAGCGCATGTCATCGGTCCGTTGGTGGCAAGTCACTTGCTGGGGCTGCGGCCGCAGAGTGAGACGAGCGCCTCCTCATAGTCCCCAGTGGACTTGAGCTGAAACAAAGCATCGCCGGGTCGTCAGGTCAGCCGAGGGCGTGAAATGACACCAACGATATGAGTCCCCGCTGAGCGCGGAAACTATCCAGGATATGAGTAGGAGAAGGCGACGCAGGCGTGGTCTGTTGGGCTCAGCTGGCTATGAAATCAGGTGTGGCTTTTGTTCGAGGTGACGAACAGAGAGAATGTACGATTTGGCTCACAGGCAAGCGTGTTTGCGCCATGTTTTGTTTTTGCGCTGAGCTTAGCTGCATTTGGCACTAACAGCACACTTCGTGATCAATGTTATGTTGCATTTCAGAGCGCATGGGTACAAGATTAGGTAAAACAAAGACCTTAATAAAGCTAATAGCCAATGCCAGTGAAGCGAGCATCACAACGTTAGAAATGGACGGCAACTTTAGGAGGAAAATGACTATCCTCACATCTATATAACCTCACTAGATGCATGAATTCCATTGTGTTTTGGTAACCTTTTGCCCTCTGGCAGTTCGACCTTTTACGATGTAGCAAACTGTACTGTACTGTAGTACTGTAGCAAACTTTACGTATAAGTCCGTGGTGGCCTAATAACTCCGTGAGTCCCCGCGAGATTCACATACCACAGCAAGCGCGAAAATGTCACCAATGTTGCTCAGTCGTACTACGAATACACCATTTTAGAACCGTTTAGAACTGTTTTAAAACTGCTTATAAACCGCTTTTGTCCCATCACGAGTGAGATAGGATGCGACTCGAGTCTCCCGATTAAGACCGCGGCGCTTCCTACAGCGCCGACCTCTGGCGTGGGGCGCCAGCCGCGTCCTGGTGCCGCGCCGCGGCCCCGCCAAGCTCACCTCGATGTCGTCGACGAGCGCGCGGCCGTACTTCAGCCTGTACTCCTCGGCGATGGTGGCCAGGTCGATCTCGGCGCGCGACACCACGATCCGGATCAGGGAGCTGTCGTCCTTGCTGAGGCGGTCCTCGACCCCACAGCGCGTCGTGCAGGCGCAGCGCGAAGTAGCGCGCAGGTTACGGGTCACCTCCACTGCGGCGAGGGGAGGGGTGGGTTAAGTTAGGTTGGGTGCCGCCCTCCCCGGCGATTGGCTGATGGCTTCCACTGGCAAGCCATTTCGGAACGAGGAGGGCTGGTTTGGCTCTATGCCCTGCTCTTCGCTTGTCTTGCTTAGAGGCCGAAGAACTGACAAGTTGTGAAAGCAGTAAGGCATCGTTTGAGGCATAACGCGGTTTTCCCTTTGTGAACAGCCGCGACTTCTGGCCCTCCTATTAATGTCTATCACTTAGCTCCAATTCTACCTCTCGCACTGATAGAAGGGGGGGGGGGGGGTCGATACGACCCCCTATGCTTTCTGAGGATACTTCTCCCGCATGCTGTATAATCACGCCAGGATTTTCGGTGGCCCCCTAGGGAATCCATATCGCTTACATCTTTACATCTTTTCTGCGTACTTTCACATCTGCGTACTTTGACATCAAGTCCCCTAGACGAGGGCTGAACGAGATTCTCAGGATGTCAGTCGGTCCAGCTGAACTATCTCCATCGCCTTACCAATGGCCAGCACGGCGTCCTCGACATGACGCGAGAACTCGTTCTCCAGGGCTTCGGTGAAGGACTGTCCGGCGAGCTGCTCGTACTCCGAGAAGATGAGGGCCAGCTGCGCGTAGTTCTCGCGCGTCAGGTAGTACTTGAACGTCTCCTCTTGGGTACCGAGGCGGTTTTCCTCCTGCCGTTGAAGTCACGGGACCGTCAGAGTAAGAACGCTGGTGAGTTAGATTGGCGTTGGATCAGGGAGAGCCAGGAAACCTTAAAAAGTTTAGTGTTTTATGTGAGCTGTTCAGTGCAACTGCGAAGAGCATTGCGCACACGTAAGCGCACCGCTATCGCCTTGCTCCGCGATAAATAACTGGGAAATCAAAAAGCCGCTTAGAGGCCTCGCCTAGAAATGACCAATAAACATGTGGCGACAAGCGTCAGGCATGCGATGACTGCTTTAAAATACTTTCCAACACTAGAATCGAGTCCATGTCCGACGATAGGGCGTCACGTCAAGCGGATTCCAGATTCAAGCGGATTCAAGCGGATTCCAGTCCTCCAGCCACGGCTGAAACTTAGCAAGGTGGAAGCAAGCATTTGGCAATGCTTCAAATGTGAAGCAATGCTCTGAGATGGTGGCCTCTTGCAACCTTTGTCTGCATATCCAGGTAAGTTTTTAGCCGTTGGACGCTGATATTTAGTCCAAGGAAGACGAAGATTGCAGCCGCCTTCAACGCTGTTACGCTCTTGGTTCATGAGTCTCAGCGCCATTACTACAGGGTATGGGCACGGACAGACAATATTAACTGAGTGTTCCATGGGTAAGGTGGCATGCGTCGGTTTACCATCAGATTATTTATCGGAGTGCTATCATAGAAACACACTTCTTCGCAATCCTCATATGACTATTCAGACGCTTCATCACAACTCATGAATATGATGTACTTATGTATATGTAAACATACATTATAGTATACATACATATATATATATATATATATATATATATATATATATATATATTAATACATGTTATATGTATGTTAACAGGCACACACACACACACGCACACACACACACACACACACACACCACACACACACACACACACACACACACACACACACACACACACACCACACACACACACACACACACACACACACACACACACACACACACACACACACACACACACACACACACACACACACACAATATATATATATATATATATATATATATATATATATATATATATATATATATAAAACCTGTTGTATGTATGTTAACAGGCACACATACATATATACACATATATGTGTATATATATATATATACATATATATATATATATATATATATATATATATATATATATATACACATACCTGTTAATGCGAGTGAAGGCTTCCAGCCCGCTGAGCGTGTCACACACCCGCCGCCCCCATCCCCAGCCATCACCACTCCCGCAGACCCACCGTCTTGGTAAAGAGCAGCCGCCTGTTCCCTGGCTCGCTGCTTGCTGACTTTGAAGCTGTTGTCTCGGCTGCCGTTGACGAGCGTTACCAGGATGTCCTCCAGGTCGCTTCTGAAGTCGCCCTTGATGTCATCCAGCAGCGTGTCCTGCTCGACTGAGGAGTGACACCGCGTCAGACAGTGCATTGTTGGGTTTAGCTGCAGCGAACGGCCACCGCACATTGCATGTCCTTCAGCACCAGGAGTGGATCACGTAACGCTAGCAAACATACACATCAGATAGAGTCGTTATTAGGCTCAAGAGCGTAGGCGCTAACCGACTACACACAAAAGTTTTCTTCGACTTGGTTCGGTGAGCGCCAATCGGTGACACATGGTTCGGTGAGCGCCAATCGGTGACACACGCAGACGCCCTCAATGCTGTCTCTGAGCTCGTGTGGGGGTGACAGCGTTGAGCACGCCGTGCCGAGAGCTTTCTAGGGGAGGCTGTGTGACCGCCACGGTCCGCCTCACTGGCCTGCCTGAGGCTTCTGGTGCGGAGACAGCGTGCCCTGCCAGGTCACTTGCAACCCCAGCACTCCACCTAACGCCGCGACAAAAGCAGAGCGAAGGCAGGAGCGAGCGAAACGCCCGTGGCGCACCAGCGCTTCGTCCGGACACAGCACCAGCGCTTCGTCCGGACACAGCGGCCTCGGCTCTGGAGGCTGAGCGCTCTCCCGCGCCCCACTCACTGGCGTAGTAGAGCGGCGCGATGATCTTGATCTCGTCGTTGGTGCTGCTGATGAGCGTTTCCAGCACGGTGTCCTCGTCGGTGCCGATGCGGTCCATGCCGTCGTGCAGCTCCTGCGCCAGGTACTCGTAGTAGGTGCTTCCCCGAAGCAGCGCCTGCATGAGGTTCTCGAAGTGGCCGCGCGTTGTCCTGGTCACGTCCCTGTACAGGTTCTGCGTGGCAGGAACAAGTGGGATGAGGAGGGGCTACTCAGAGGAATGTCACACATTTCGTTGACACATTTGTACTGACTGGTTGTCAATGGAGTTCGACTTTGAGTCTCAATTGGCAGCTGGATTGAACACCCGAACGCGGCATATACAGTCGGGCTGTCGAAGTTGAACCAACTTTCGTCCGCTCAACCAAGGGTGAACGGTGAAGCTGCGTGCATGCTTTTGGGTTCAGATGAAACTGTACCTGAATCCAATAAGTGGATGCTTGGATCACAACATCGATGCAGGTCATTATTCTTTATAATAGATAAATGACCTGATGTCATGATAGACTGACTTGTTTTCGTTCGAAACTTGCAGGCTGGTAGACGAGCGAAAATCAGAAAAAAAAGCTAGAGACACGAAGTTTTGGTGATCGTCATCATCGGTCACGTAGAGAGGGGACAGAAAAGAAGAGGAAAAGTGTGCAGGACACGTATCCTAGCCCTGAGATTGCCCGCTCTGCACTGGCGGCTCACAAAATCCCGCCTGCCTGACGCCGGCGCTGCCATCTAGTGATGACTCCCTTCAACCACATGGCGTTTAGATGGAATCTGATGGATGATGTGCGGCAACTGTTAAAGCCTAACACACTGTCTCGTGGTTTTTAACCGTGCGCCATCTATTGTCACTCAATCTCACCAACAGGCCACCAATAGATGTCGCTGCCGGCGTCAAACAGGCGCGAAATTTGCAGCCGCCAGTCGCGCACAGGTAGTTGTTGCATGGGTAGGGGACGTGCCAGGCTTATGTTTCTTCCCTTCTCCTTTCTGTCCCCTTTATAATGCCTGATGATGGCAAACGCCAAAAATTTGCATTCCCAACTCTTCTTCCGATCTCCTTTCTTCTGATTTTCGCTTCTCTATACAGCCTACAAGTCTCCAAAAGCAAGCAGGTCAGATCACAAATCTGATCGCTCGTTCGTTCCGACAGTTTAAGTACAGCTTCCTTTCACATACTGCAAGGCCTTCAGCGAATAGCGCACCCACGTCGCGTTTACAGCGCGTGCTTCAGCGCGTGGGCAAAGATCAAACTGAAAAACGTCCGGGGCCCCAAAGGAAGGTCAGCATTTCACGCAGGGTGTTGGACGAGACTGACCTTGCCATAGAGATTGGAGTAAGCCTGCGATATGAGTGCCCTCTCGGAGAAGGTTCTCTTGGTCAGGACATCGATCAGCTCGTCGTCCGTGGCGTCAAAGTAGCCGATGGCAGACCTGTGGAACGGCCACATCACTTGAGAGGTCGCGCGCTGGATCATCTCAGTGGTTACACGCTGGATTATCTGAGTGGTCGCGCGCTGGATCATCTCAGTGGTTACACGCTGGATTATCTGAGTGGTCGCGCGCTGGATCATCTCAGTGGTTACACGCTGGATTATCTGAGTGGTCGCGCGCTGGATCATCTGAGTGGTTACGCGCTGGATCATCTGACGCGCATCGCATGGGCCTCGCAGAGCCAAAACAGCTCTCAGTCAGGGATCTGTCAGAGCCGGAGCAGCTCTCAGTCAGGGATCTGTCAGAGCCGGAGCAGCTCTCAGTCAGGGATCCGTCAGAGCCGGAAGCAGCTCTCAGTCAGGGATCTGTCAGAGCCGCAGCAGCTCTCATTCAGGGATCTGTCACACGACAATGTAGATTCGGGGAAGATATGCGCAGCTTTCAACTTAGAAACGGGTCTGGCTCTTACATCACACTAACACCACGATGTTATTATGTCATGTGTTCTGGCATCAATCAAAGCCATCGTATGAAATGATTCGCCTAACTGGACCAAATTCGTCGAATGGAGTATAAACAGTCTGGAATATACTCCAGAGAAATCAGTAGACCGCTGGCAAGGGAATCGCTTAATCACGTGCATGCATCATCGGCATGTATTTCCTGTTCTTTGAGCGACTCGTCTGCCGTTGCTCTGCGTACTGGGATTTCCGTGAAGGAGTTCAGCGGTTGAAATATGGAAACGGCAGACGTTTTCAGAACCCCCACATCACGACTGAGGCTCCTCCGATGTCATACAAATCAAAGTTCTTCTTGTGGCCTTGTGCGGCCCGGCACAAGGCCACAAGAGGCCCGGCCCGGCTGTAGGCCGGGCCTTGGCGGAGGCCTAGTCAGGATTTCGCCCCAGGAAGAGGGCGAATCGGGTCGAGTTGAGACCGTTCCAGCCAAAGTGGACGCTCTGGCCGCTGATTGTAAAACTTTTTGGGATCCGCTATCATTGTAGGCTTGGAATCCCTTTGTGATACTCCTCGGGATCCGCTTTTAAATGATTACACTAGAGGCGCCTTTAACTCCCAAGAATTACTGTGGATTTTGTCCCCAGGTGGCCTCGCCACGTCCAGATGGGTCAGGACCCGAAGGCACCCTGCTTGGCTACGCCACTGGGGCTCGAAACGTGCGTAACTGGAAGCTCGGAGCAAAGACCAGCTCTGTGGTGATACACTTACACCACGTCTCTGGCTCAGCCAGGGGCGCGTCCGGCGTCTGTCATGGGTAAAATTTGGCTTTCATATGGCCATCTCTGGTGGTCCTGCCCGGCCTCCGCGGGCCATCTTTGGTGGTCCTGCCCGGCCTCCGCGGGCCGTCTCTGGTGGTCCTGTTCGGTCCCCGTGGGCCGGCTCCGGCGCTTCTGCTCGGCCTCCGTGGGCTGGACAGGTTCCAGAGCCCCGGCAACAGGGGCTGGCGCCTCTCTCCCGGCGTCTGTATATACAACAGCAATCTCTCCCTATGCCCCACACGGTGGCGGCACCACGCGTCCAGACCTCCAGACCAGGTCTCCTGCCCAGGCTATCACTTTCATGTGGGGATTTTGCAGCTGCTTATGTCACTTTTCAGGCATTCATACCTGGAACAGTACCCCCTCAGTCGTCCCTCGCTGCTTTGCTGCCTCGCGAACTCCCTGAATCGTCGGTAGGCCACAAACAGTGCTTACCCCAGCGCTCAGTGCTGAAGAGTGCCTGTAGGTTTCAGCCACCTTCAGGTGCTGGGCTTTAGGATCAAATGATATCACGCGCCTCTTAAGATACGCATCCAGCATCGCATCGCATCGCATCGTGCCTCTCAGCATGGCGCTCGGACTAGTGCACAACTTGCGCAGTGTAGACAGTGCCGTCTTGCGAAAGAGCTGGGGCAAGGTATCCGAGTGACGGATGGAATAATCGGCCGGGCTGTTGTTGTTCAGTTCGTAGAGTACTGGACTCGCAATCAGAGGACCTTGGTTCCAATCATAAATAGCAGAGACGCTTACGAGGGGAGCGCCGTAACCTTAGCATTAAATCATTATTTTCAAATACGTTACAGGTAATGACTGCCCACCATCTGCTAGATGTGGCTTTGCCGGTAGCTTTAACTGTAAAGCAGGCCCGTGCATTCTCCTTCGCAAGTTCCCCTCTGTAACGACTTTCAGTGCTCGTTTCCCCGGGCTACGCCGTGCAGATGGAGGAAATGAGGAATGTTGCAAGTACTCACACATTCATAAGTGTTCCGTATCAACATGCATAAGTCTACTTACTTGAGCCGCCTGGCGTCGGCGTCGGCATCAAAGTACGCCGACTCCCGAAGTGTGGGACGAGCATTAAGCTGAAATCAGTGATGAAAAGCATCAGCGTCTGGCGAGCGGCAAAGCCGTCGAGTGACACCCTTTCGACACCTCTGGCAATGTCGGTCACAACGTGCACTGTCCATGTAATCGGTTGAAAAAAACGGTGCATGTATTACTAAGAAGCGGTGAGAACACGTGGCAAGGGATCCGCGGAAGTGGAACTGCGGTGATCACTGCGTATGACCCGGATCACTGCATCGATGCCTTGCAGATGAAAGTAGTCGAATAATAGTGCCCAAGTTATTACAAGCGTTTTAGCATATCGCTGTCATAAAAGGCGTTCTGAAACTGGATGAATTTAGAGGCATAAAGTGCAGATAACGTGTTCAAATTTGGTCTCGTTGCCTTGTTGAGAGGTAATTCTAAGAAAGGTATTTTTAGGACGCGTTAGGAGCAAAACACAGGCTCATCAAACTGATATAAATTGTTCCGAAACAAACAAGGCATATGGGTAGGCATGACAAAGTTCGGGACAAAAGGTAAGCATCTGTTTGTATCATCGCCCTATGCGAAGGTGAAACAACAAAAGTGAATTACATAAACTCATCAATTATGTGACTTTCCTAACCGAGTCATCGCCAGTGCTTCACATCAGCCAAATATCTCCCCCCCCCCCCTCCCCTCCTCTATGCATGGTCCGGTTCGGACAAAGGTGTTACGTTTCGCTCCGTGCCGACCTGGCAAGAAGATAATGTTCGGGCGGCCAGTATGAGCCATTAACCCTTGCACTGCCGAAGACCTCACCAGATCCCACCAACCTAAAACTGGCGGAGGAGGAAGGAGGCGGGGTGGGGGGAGTAGACAACTACCCCCTGCTGTCCGGGGTAAGATGTATACAAAAATATATGTGAAACGCCGTCAAAAAGTGTCTGTGCCTTTTTAAAACAAATAACTTTAGTAATGTTATTTATTAAGTTGACCTCAGGCCAAGGTCACATGACGCCATCTTACTGTCATGTACAGTTGACCCCATCGTTTCAATCTGCTATAAACTGAACGAGTTAGGTGTGTGCAGCACTGTGCTCAGTCCATACTTATACGCTGCAAGCGTTTGACCGAGATCAACCAGTTGTCAAGCCAGTTTACGTTTCAAGGTTCAAGTTAGGGCAGTGACGTTAGATAGCTATTTGGGTAAAATGTCACGAGCAGATGAGGACACAACGCTGTTAGGTCTCATGAAGAGTAAAAACAAGCCAACCGTGCGTGTAAAGTGCGTTTTGTAGTCTTCAGATTAATAAAGTCAAGTCTTCAGATTAATGAAATCAATACCTCTTACAAGTTGAGAACATATCATCACAGAATGAAAGTAAAGCTCAACAGGTCGGCCAACTATGACGGAAAATTTATTTCTGGACTTCAGTAGCGGCAACGCTGCGTAATAAGGTACGAATGCAAAAACAATAGGGACTGGATGATCAGCAAGTGTCGTATTCAACCACCTCCAGTGAGATGCGGAATACCTAAAACTTCTGTGTTATTGATCCGGCATGACCTGACACCTAAAATTGTCGGATAGCTTTGACGTAGATGTGGGATAAAGGCGTGAGTAGCACCAGGCTGAAAAGTGTCGGCCGTTCTGCAGTTGACGTAAAAATGTCACGGGAGCAAAGTGTCTCCGCCCAGAGGGACATTTGAGGGACATTTGAGGGACATTGTCACTGAGAGGGACATTTGCCGGGGGCTGACCCAGGGGGACCGTTGGGAGGCAGCGGTGTAGTTTGTGGCGGTGTGCCCTCACCCTTGTGCGTTATGGCTATGGCGGGCGCTAAACGTTGCATTCTTCATGCCAATGTAGATAAGCATCTAACTGATAGTCTACCTCAGATCCAAACTCCCTGCAGCCTGCTTAGAACCCGAAGCTCTTGACGTCCCTGAGAGCTCAGCTTCTTTGGTGAAACATGTCGAGGCACCCTCCGTTTTGACATAGTGTATCTACATTAATATGTATATACATATATATATATATATATATATATATATATATATTCCTTTTCGCAAATGTTGTGTTGTCATTATTTGTTTATAAATTTACTGGTGCGTGAAATAGATACCTTATGATAACATGAAATCATCACTCAGTAATCATATGATTTCTTACGTCATTTAAACATTTGTGATCACGTTGTTCTCAACTAGTGAAACGCAATAATTTGTGCTTATTCTAAATCTTTACATCAGCATATCGATTTTAGCATTTTCGCAACATTTGTAGCTTTCGTGAAATTGACCTCAAAACTGAAATTTACATCGTACACCATATTGATTTGTGGTCGCCTACCATATCGCGCATGTCGTAACATGCTTGATTTCGCTTGCTTATCATGATGACCGTTATGGCAGTTGCCTATAAATATGCATTCGTACGACGCGTTAGCTTATGATTATTACACAACCAACTTTTTAAACTTGCGTCCTTTTCCCAAGATTTCCCCGCTGAGTGCGCGATTGACATTTTGTAACTTAACAATTGGTGTCAGCCCACTCTTCCAGGGATCGCTTTTAATTGCGACGGACAGGAGGTGATTTTCGGTGGGATAAAATCTATGTCTACTACCTCGCGTAAAAAAACAAGGGAGCAAGTTTCGCTCACACACTTCATTCCGAAATCAACAACACATGTTTAGTACGTATTTGTACGCCAGTCTTCCCGTTTGTCAATTTTGAGCACCAGCGGACGTTTCTTACGTCCAGTAAAGATAAACGTGAACAACGTGTAAAATTAGCAAAATAGTGAATTATCCCTTCCCCCCCCCCCCCCCAGGCACATAATCCGAGCAAAAATAGTGTTATGAAAATATGGATATTCACGTAACAGCTCCTTACAGTAAACCTTGCATGCGTGCTTTTCACGATGCTTTGACAAAGTCCCGCGTATGCTTCCCGCTACGTAATATATTTGATATAAGTAAATCGTCGATCAGCGCCTTTTTCGGCGCTATGAGTTCGATTTCTTGCGCTGAGCTAACCACCCTCCAGTGTAATCGAGAGGTCTGGTTAAGAGACGTTCTAGTGCCAAAACAATGACTTTTTTGACGGCCCTCAATGTTCACGAGCTGTTCTCATCCTCAAGACATTTTATCGGCGTAAATTACGGCCTGCTGCATGCCCTCCGCCTGAGACTTGTCTGGTGAGCATCGTTAGTCCAATTATCCGCCCATCGCCCTGGTATTTGCGTTCTAACTCCTTGCACAAGTCTACTGGGCGTCACCGGAGTCCGGCGCCTCCGTCAAGTTTCCAACGCCCAGTGCCCCTGCTGACTGTCGCTGTAGATCAGTCAGTGCCCAGCGCCCCTGCTGACTGTCGCTGCAGACCAGCCAGCGCCCAGCGCCCCTCCCGTGTGTCGGTGTACACCGGGCAGTGCCCCTGTTCACTGTCGCTGCAGACCAGTCAGCGCCCAGCGCCCCTGCTGACTGTCGCTATACACCGGCCAGCGTCCCTGCTGACTGTCGCTGCAGACCAGCCAGCGCCCAGCGCCCCGCTGACCGTCGCTGCACACCGGCCAGTTTCAGCGCCCAGCGTCCAGTGCTTACCCGTCGGGAGTGCGCGCAGGCCACGCTGAGTGGGTACGACTTGCAGAACTTCCAGACGTCATAGTCGGGCCGCTGGGTGTCGGGCACCACGCCCGCGGGCGCGCCCGAGGTCCCCGAGCCGCCCGGCGCCGGCTGCGCGTTCGTGCAGCAAACCTGGGAAAAACGGCAGAATTTAAGCGTAGGAGGGGGGGGGGGGGGAGCGCGTACTCGGTGGTATTGCACCGATATGGTGAGCTGTTCAGTGACGGAGTGTCCAACCATAGCGGTGAACTCATGCAGAGGACGGGCCTTGAGAGAGGCGTGCAACGAATGTTGTAACGCTCACCTCGCATAATCGACCACTGGGCGACAAATGACTACAGATAAGTGACTTGCACGTGGTGCCGTCCTTCGTGACGAGGGAATGCGGGCCACCAGTGAGCAGTCTTTAAAGGGAATGTTCCACATTTGAAAATGTTGAAGTATGTATCAGATGTGATGAGACAAGCTCACTCAGAAGTATTGGTAAACTTTTCAAATGAATAAGACTACCCTGAGCAACACAATTTCTCTGTTTAGTTAAAATGCCATTCGATACGTCATTATTTGATTATGCCATCGCAACTTGCACACCATTGATTGAGAGCCAGTCGACCGCCGTTGTATCTAGAGATTGTGCTCACGAACGCCAGATATCAATGACTCGACTTTTATATCATCCTTGGCCTTGAACGCCGCAAAGCGTATGGAACGGCAGGATTTGAATGACATTATTATGACGTCATTAATGCCAAGGTGACCGTGAAATACTCTCATCGTAAAGTCTCTCTATTTTCGCGGGCGAATCGATCAGAAACTAGAATGGTTTAGGTCTTAAGAAAGGCAGGGCAGACAACTGCACCAAATGATCTCCAAGATGGCCATTTCAGTTCAAAACCAAATGCAGAGGCGAATTACCTACCCCCTTAACTGATCTCCTACATGTGAACCTCAGTACGGAGCATCTTACCAGCGAGAGACCGGTCCCAGCCTCTCATGTGTGCCACTTGAGTGATGACCTTCCAGACAAGGACACTCTTCTAGCAGCCTTTCAAACAATAAGAGCTGCCAGAGCCCCTCTCAATTCAAAATCGCTGCGCCCAACACCCACGCACACAGATAGAGAGAAGAGAGAGAGAGAGAAGAGAGAGAGAGAGGAGAGAGAGAGAGAAGAGAGAGAGAGAGAGAGAGAGAGAGAGAGAGAGAGAGAGAGGAGAGAGAGAAGAGAGAAGAGAGAGAGAGAGAGAGAATAGAGATAGAGAGAGAAGAGAGAGAGAGGGAGAGAGAGAGAGAGAGAGAGAGAGAGAGAGAGAGGAGAGAGAGAGAGAGAGAGAGAGAGAGGAGAGAGAGAGAGCGAGAGAGAGAAAAGAGAGAGAAGAGAGAGAGATCGAAGGAGATAGAGACCTCGCTCATCGAGCAGAGAGAGAGAGGAGAGTGATAGCTCTCTCTCTAGCGTCTCCTCTCGTCCTCTCTCTCTAGGCTCGCCTAGCTCGCTTCTCTCTCTCTCTCCGCGCTCTCTCTCTCTCTCTCTCTCGCTACTCTCTCCTCGCTCGTCTCGCAAGCGCGCTCTCTCTGAGCTATAGTGCTCTCCAGAGAGAGAGAGAGAGTCATCCATCGTTCTCCTCACCAGTGGGCTCGCCATCTCCATCAGAGAGAGCTCACTGCCAGCGCGCCTCTCACCCCTGCACCCGACATCCCGGATATCAAGAAGCCGCAGGCGCTCCTCACCTCGTCAAGGCGACACTGCGGTTGGGTGGAGCCCGGTCGCAGGGGAACTATGTCCGCCTGGCCGCAGTAGGCCCGGCTGGTGCACGTGCACTTCTGCGCCGGCTGGTCGGGCAGCACCGGGCTGCGCGGCACGGCGCAGCACACCTCGTTGTCGTGGCTGCAGCGGCCCGTGCTGGACGTCTGGCGCATGTCCACTTGGGAGGCCACCTCGGGCGCCATCGTGCCGCCGTCGCAGAGGAAGTAGGAGACGCACACGCACTGGCCGCTCGTCGGCGACGTGTTCGAGCCGGGGGAGCCGCCGTCGAAGAGGTCGCGGATGCCGTCGCTGATGCTGTTCATGACGCCCTTCTCCATGCCCGGCTTGGACTCGATCTTCGTTATCTTGTCCTTGGGCACGTTGCAGCAGATGTTGAAGTCCTTGCACCTCTTCCTGGGGCCAAACCTGTGGAGAGGGATGGTTTGGTTTCACTGTGTGTGCCGCTAATCTGGATGCGCTTTGTAGAATCCATGTACTGGCGTTTCGTTTTCACAGTACGCGTTATGGATCTGGAAGTTCCTTTTAGAGGAATGCTCTTGGTTTCAGCGTCAATATCTGAAGCATTTTGGCGTTTCGTTTGATCAATAGAACACCTAATCAATGCGAAATCTTTCGCGCACACATTTGGAATGAATTTGTGTAACACACCGTCGCATGGCCCACTTTTGACGAGCATTCCTTCTATCTTTTGTTATCATCTGCCACGCGTGGTCTTTGCCTTGGAATGACATATATTTACACGGGTTCATCACAAACCCCAGGGTTCTGGAAAACGCCAAGGTTGTGTAAGCTATGTCGCATTTCACAACAGCCGTGTGGTCATCCCGTGACCTCGTTGGTAAGTATGACCCGAAATGTGTGAAAAAATGTGGACATATGTGAAATGAGTCCCAAGAGTAACATTCGGAATGTGGATGGCTGGCCCACTAGTTGTTCATCACCTGACAGGCGATTATTTGATACATAGCGCAGAACAATTTTGGTTGGGTCAGTTAACCGAGTTATGATATTTTCAGTGAAGGCTTGCACGAAAATTTGCCACTGCTTGCAGTAGTATACAATCAAGCGTCCTTGTTTTGGACTATTTTGATGTAATGCATCAGCTGGTGTGGCTGTTTTCCAGCCAGGGCCAGGCAAACATACCGGACTACATCAGACTATCATCAGTGCTCATGTGGGGTCAGCCTATAAATGTCAAACCAAACTTATTTGCTTAGCCTGCTTGTGATGAAAAAATCGGTGCAACTAGCCCATTTTCAAGCAAATGACTTTCTTATGGTGGAATACAAGCGTAGAAAACAGCCAGATAAGATGACCTGACCTTGAACCAACATGGCATGCTGTTTCCCTGACCTGGAATGTAGCACAGCTCGAAATTTTGAGCACCGTCAACATGATCGTTGCTAGACACAGCGTCGTTTAACGAGCGTCTCCTAGTACATTGAATACCGTTAATTCTGCATAAGAATTTGGAGTTCGTGGGATATCGGTTGTTGTAGTTATAATTTTACGCGACCATTATTGCGTAATAAAGAAACCACGGTAGTCACTCCCAAATTTAGACAATTTAAGTGTTTCCTTGACTTATGGTGCCATCAGTCAATTCACAAATGCCAGGTGGATGACTCTGGCTGGCGATCAGGTGAGATCATGATAACATTGTTATTATATATGCGTCTGATTCGGCGAATAGATGCTGGGATGCCAGGGAATTTCCGCGATCGGGTACGATTGTCGAAATGCGCCAGAGTACGGGAGTACATGAGCGCTGCTTATTCAAGGTTACCCCAGAACCCCGACCCAGGCCCACAGATTTCGCTAACTTATCTGCAGGTCCGGTGACCACATCCCCGCCTGGTTGTCCTTGACAGCCCCACACCGCATGTGACCCACGTGGCTGACCGGTGCCCATCTGCCCTGAGCGTGCCGTTCATCAGCGCTGACCGGTGCCCATCCGCCCTGAGCGTGCCACCCACCGGGGCTGACCGGTGCCCATCTGCCCTGAGCGTGCCGTTCATCAGCGCTGACCGGTGCCCATCTGCCCTGAGCGTGCCACCCACCGGGGCTGACCGGTGCCCATCTGCCCTGAGCGTGCCGTTCATCAGCGCTGACCGGTGCCTATCTGCCCCGAGCGTGCCATCCACCAGGGCCGGTCAGTCCCCATTTGTCCTGAGCGTGTCACCCACTACGGCTGACCAGTGCCCATCTGCCCTGAGCGTGCCATCCACCAGCGCTGACCGGTGACCATCTGCCCCGAGCGTGCCACTGACCTGACGTCGAGCAGGCCAGCACCATCGGTGAGCACCCGGCCGTCCTCGCACTGGTAGAAGGGCACGCAGACGCACGACTCATCGGCGCTGGGGTCGACGAAGGTCGGCTCGCCGGAGAGCAGCCCACCGAGGCCGCGCGCCACGCGCCCGGCAGGCTCGGCCCAGCCCGCCACCACCAGCGCCGCCACGCATAGGACAAGTGGCCCCGGTTCGCATCCTGCCGCCGCCGCTGCTGCAGTGCTCCGAGCAGAGCCGCAGTCCACACCGGGCTGGGCGGGCGTACGCCGCCCGCTTTATAGGGGACGCCCGGCCGCCGCATAAACAGAACGGCAGACGTTGGCTCGGGGCGGTCACGAGCTCGGAAAACCCTGCTCACTGCGGAGCGGAACGGTCGAGGTTGGGTTGATGACGCACCAGGGGTGGAGCAGGGGCACGACCGGTGCATGCCATGCAAACCGCAGTTGAGAGGTCAGGTTGAAATTGTAGCGACCGGTGCAAGGCGTGGGAACGTCAGAAGGAAGCAGTCGGCGTGTGCAGTTATTCCCGACTCTGATATCCGCCCGTTCATCGCCTTTTCTGCTTTGTCCTGCATTCTTGCGACGAACCGCTTGTCCGGGGCAGGCTGGATGTGCCAGCCACGAGCCCGCCGAAGTGCCAGCTGGTGATTTCCGTCAAGTTAGCGCCGTTTTCGTATTCGAATTCAGTGTCGAGATTTCCAACAGCAGTTTCCCACTGAATTCAGTGTCAAGCTCAAATTTCCAACTGCAGTTTCCCACTGAATTCAGTGCCGAGCTCCAATTTCCAACAGCAGTCTTCCACTGAATTCAGTGCCGAGTTCAAATTTCCAACAGCAATTTCCCACTGAATTCAGTGCCGAGTTCAAATTTCCAACAGCAGTTTCCCACTGAATTCAGTGCCGAGTTGAGACCTTTAAAGCAGTCTTTCCAAGTCAAACCCACTGTTATTTACGAATCTGCAATCCTCTTTTCTCTGAGTCATTTAGTTTGATCTCAACAGGTCAATGTAAGGTCAAAATTGGGAAACCCTGGCATTCCTTCGTTTATCTGAGAAATCCAATAAAATGGGTATTATATTGATCCCTGTGATGTCAACTTTCATAACGCCTACAGAAACGAAAACTGGTGGCACTTCCGTCTGAGCACAGTGCCCCCCCCCCCCCCGAAAGTCGTTCCCAGGTGCATGTAGCCCTGTCCCACCGTTATCTATTCTTCTTCATCCAATGGGCCTGAAATGTCCATGAGTGACCGGAAGGGCTTTGATACAAATAACTAAGTAACAAAGCCAACCGTTTCTAGCGCCAGCTTTGTGATGTCGCAGAGCGACACTTTACGTAGAGCTGCAATGCAGTTTGAACATTTAGATGCACGTGCCCTTTATCGTCGCCTCCAGGATATGGACGACTTGGAGCAGCCTTACCTGGCCTTCCTGCTTTCGCTGTTGGAGAACGCTGAATCATTCCAATGTCACCCGCATTACGAGAAAGGTGTGAATCACATCTCCTGTGATGATCGTGACTTAGTGACCACGGTAGTCACGAAGGGTGGGCAGTGAAGCTATAGTTGATGCGCGAAAACTGGCGACGATGCGCTTGCGATATATTGGCAGTAAAACAAAATAAAATAATACTACCGAATAGTTTTTTATGCATGATGAGATCCACTCCGAACCAAATATAATAGTGAGTGCACGGGCTCATTTCAGGTCAAGGCTGTTATGAATGTTCAATGGTTGGTATGATGTGAAACACTTTGCGGTTTTCGCGTCGGAAAACGCGTGCCTTTTTATGCATCATAAGTTGTGGATTTTAAACAACCTGCCTGGTTAAACCTTGCATTCGTATTGTGTGGCATATCATGTCAAGAGTACGACGTATTCCCATTTCCGCATATCTGAATATAACCGCAGCGACTTATAAGGATGGCAAGTCAAGAAAGCAGTTTAGAATATCATGTAAGTGGCACATTGAGAATATTTGTCCGCCTTGGGACATCTTTTTTAGATGGCAGGGCGCGAGATTTACACCCTCGCTACATTGTACGTGATTCTCAGAGGCCCTCTGCTGCTCATGTTGATACACCAGCCACTTCCTCGTAAAATTGCCATTTCTAAATAGATGTGCTAAGACGCTACGTCTCATCTACTTGTCCGTGTGACATTACGAGTAAAAAAAACATAGTTTTCTCCACAAGCTGTCGGGCCACCTAGCGGGCCATTCTTCAGGTGGTGGTTCACTTGACGATTAAAAAGCTTTCAAAATGAAATGGAAATTGCACAAAAACATGCCGCTATGTCCCTCTTGATACTAACGAAAAACATTCCTCTTACCAGTCTTAATCCTCGTCTGAGGCGATCTCACACTTACTCCTGAGCAGACATCTTGACCGCAGGCTTATAACAGCGCGAAAATATTAAGAGACCAAAAAAATGTCGCTATACTTTGGGTCATAAGCCTTCTGCGGGCGACAGAACTATTTGATCCATCAAACACACTAAGCATCACGAAAGTGAAATAAACCGTCCCAACACTTACTCTTTCCCGAGTTCACTAAAACATCCTTTTCAAAATTACGCAAGTTGTTCAGTACATTAGCGAGAAGCATTATTCACGGAGTTAAGACAGTAGTATTAGCCTTATTACTCGGAGAAAACCAGGAGAATGAAGATATAGTTTGGTTGATATTTCAGCAGCATGCCTTTATCGAAACAAAAGCAGAAGTTTGTTTCTTCTGCTTTTGTTTCGATAAAGGCATGTTGCTGAAATATCAACCGAACTATATCTCCATTCTCCTGCTTATTCCGAAGAATAGGGCTAATACTACTGTCTATCTATGAAAACATCCTTTTCACCGAAGGGCAGGGCAGAGATTTGCTACGGACACTACAAGAAAAACTCGAATGCGCACTACGTTATATCACAGAACCGTTGTGATGCCCATCACGTTCGTGCCAAACCGGGTGTTAGCTCTAGAACAGATCACGTGGCTACGTTGCTCTTCACGGTGGATTTCATGCCCCGAATATGAATGGTGTCTTTGAGTTTTCATCCGACACGGTCATCACGTTTGCACAATTTTTCCCGACAACCGAAAATAGGGAACGACATCAAAACCGTGACGTGAAAGCGGAAATGAAGTCAAACGGGGTGTTGATAACCTTGAGCGCGGCACGGCGACGTCGAAAAGGTTTTCAGCGGGCTTTGGCAATTCCCACGTAGGTGGCAGGGCATAGTATGCAGCTGGCCTGATTAGCCGTGTTGTTTGTCGCGCAGCCTGTATCGAAGCCTGGCGTGCAAAGAGTGCGTGTGCTCCGCTTGATGGGGCAGACTGGGCCTCGCATATCAGTACGAATGAAATGATGCTTGAATGAATCTTGACTTCTCCATGCTAAAAAACGTTAAGGACAGAACAAACATGTTTGCTGGCTATGCCAACTTTCATTTCTGTCAGCGCTGTGATTTGGGGCTATATATTTGCATGGCACTATACATAAATACATATGGGATGGAAGGATACAATATTAATGTAAGACATATGAAATCGATGTAATGTAAAACAAGACGACAATATATATATATATATATATATATATATATATATATATATATATACGCACACATGCAAGTTATCCAGCCAACCAGCTGCTGCGGATGAAAGATGCTACATTTGGGCCCACAGACCGACGAAGTGCCAACAAAAATAGCCGAAAAACATGGGCGGCGACACTCGTTCTTTGTGGAAGACGGAAGCAGGATTAGCATTGGGTGATTTCGGGTGGGTCGGTGTTTCGGAGTTTCTCAGTTTAGACCCATAAAAGTTGGCATGCCTCATGTTGAGAAACATGAGCGGCATTTTGCAACCCACGCACGCTCAGGACTATTCGAGCTTCGGATGGCTTTAATTTTTTTGCGACTTCCAGCCGCTGGAATTCCCAGCGCCGGTCCAGTGTTGTGGTACACCCAGAGTCGCCTTGCGTACTGTTTATACAGCGCGCACTCTGACAAAAAGTGAGCCGACACACGTTTACATGATCGGGCCAGCCGCCGATGTACACAGTCGAATACACGCGTGTTTATAGGACCACCGCCAGACAGCGGCAAGACCGGCCGGTCGCCGGCGCGCGGTGACCCACAAACCAGGCTGCGGAACGACATTATCGGTGGGTGGGCTCCTACAGAAGCAGAAAATTGAAGAAACCGACAGATGGTTCCGCGGCACCCTGGGGCTTTGAATACCTATTGACCCCCAGTGGGGCCCCCGGAGGCATGAACCATACGACGTCGGAGCTGTGATAATTTGATGCCTAGCAACCCATGCTGACGATGTGAGACATCAATGCAACGGCCCTAGCGCGGGGTTCAGGCCCTGCGACATGCACTCCTGGTGCCGCGTTCAGGTGCCGCCTGTCCCATAGCCAAGTCAGTCGAGCAAGTCCAACAAATTCGCCAACGTTGTGCGGTGCGTATGAGCCCATTGTGTGTACCACACTTGGTCGATGTCGGCCCCTGTACCCCTCTGCCCCACCCATTCCCTTTCGCGCCGCCTCAAACTGCACCAGACACTGGACGTCGGGGAGTGGAAGCTTTTGGGCAGCGATGGACGGCCCCGGCAGGAGGGCGTAACGGCTCGTTGTCCGTTGGATGATCACTGTGAAAAACCCAGTACATTTCTTGTTGGTGCTAGTGCAAAAAAAAACAACAAAGAACGGAAAATCATTATCAGGCTTGCTACTCTATGAACTAATAAATGCTCCATTTTTTAAACTTACAACAGGAAAGCTATATCTATACTTTTGTATTTATTTACACATTTGCCTGCGAAATATGCCCGAGCTTCAGAGCCCTCACTCCGTTGTATAATTTTTCTTTGTGATAGGTCTTGGACACGGTCGTTTAAAAATTACATTACTTCGATACTCACTTCACTCACTTCACTTCGAAAACGTCTTCGATAAGTAAACGGTAGCTTCCATCCTGTAGTCTCTCCAAGAATCGTGTTCATATATAGAGAAAGCCCACCTGACGAAATTTCGTCAAAATCTCATATGGTCGGGTGCCAAAAATGTATTTTCCTTCCTTTCATTCGACTGACATAAAAATAGTTCGGTGTTATACACGCTGCTCAATGAGTCAAATGGCCCCAAATCCCACTGATTCTTGATCATCGACTAATTCCTAACTCTAGATAGGCTTTTAAAGTCCCCCTTCCTTGCTTGGGATGAAATGGCATAATGCCATTTACGTGTCTTTCGCTTCTCGACGAGTCGAATGCCCCCCCCCCCAAACCGATTTAAATACACTGGCCTCTAGATAGCCTTAAGCAGCCACACGCCCGGTAAAAGGTGCGGTTGTGATTGTTGACACTATATAGTGGCATAGCCAAGGAAATCTTCTGCGGCCATGCCCTCCTCCCCCTGGAGGTCTCGGAGGCCAACCAGTACCCTCTTTTCGGCGGTTTATGACGCACGTAGGGCTCCTGGAGCGTACAAAAATAGCTCCCTAAACCAAGAAAACAAACAAGACATAAGCCTACATAAATCCCCAAGGCACACAACAGGAATGCAGGCGTTTGAAGGCCCCGAATAAGAAAGCGTGTGCTGCGCTGCGACGTCCAAGAGCTCCTCGGCATAAAAGACCCTTTGAGCCCGACTCGGTCCACTTCTCGGCGGATTTCTGGTTACGTAATCTGTATGCGCGACTCCGCCTGGATGAGCGACTGGAGAGGCACCCAAGGAAATCGCTATCCAGGAGCAATATGGAAGCATCAAGGACGAATGGGGAATGTGCATTGCTTTCAAAGGAGCATTCAGTTCAAAACAAAAGGAGTATCCACCGATATGCAAGAATTCTGTATACCTAATTCGTTCTCAGAACGTTTTGATCAACATATGCATATAATGGTGTTGTGCAAAATAAATGTTTTGGGATTGGTGTTCTTGGATTGTTGCAAAATGTTAGAATTGAGCAGCATCTAACCTGAAGTCCAGAATTTACCTAGGGTCAAACTGGCTTGTAATCATCTTTGAGGCGACCCTATCCGCACACCAAGTGTTGTCAAAATCAGGAGGTTTGGGGTCGAAGGTGACAAATAGTCAATGTGGTGTTGAATAACTTAAAAGAGGGTAGGAATCTACACACTTCTCAATCTTACTGCATTAACATGCATACACCTAGTCAGGGGTACAGCCAAGCCCCCCCCCCCCCCTAGGTGTGGATTGGTTTCGTTTTTCACCATGAACGACTCCCGACAAAAAGCCTAAAATCGACATGATGCATGCCCATTACCTACCGAGCTCCGCCTGCCCCTTGGCTGTATATCCTGGCGGTATCCTGTACCCCTACACCTAGCTATATTCACCCCCAAAAGTGCGACTGATGTAAATGTCTAGTATATGCGAGCGATCTGGGAATTCCATTTTGCTCTCATGCTCTCCATTTATATTGGGGACGATCTGATATATGTCTTAAGCAGGGGCGGATGCAGGATTTCGCCAAAGGGGGGTGGGTGGGCACGGAACATTGTGGGACCCCCTAGAGTTTGGGGCCCCTCCAAAAAATATCATTCCATTCCGGTCATTACGTTTTAAGACAAGCAGTGTATGATATATATATATATATATATATATATATATATATATATATATATATATATAACTGCGGAAGCCCATCTTTCTGTGCGAAGCCTTAAAAAGCTAGGCGTGCTACGTATGCAGATGCATAGAGCTCATTCATTTTCAACAGATCATGTTAAATCATGAGATTTTGAGACTAAGTGACTCGGAACAACAGGCAAAATTAACTCTGGTTAGCTGCTAACAACCACCAAAGCCAAGCACGGACTCGATTCCTGGCTTATTTACGGCTAGCCGCCTGGGGAAGGTAATCAGCTGATGGCTGATGACTAATGCAGAATTTTCCCTTTGTTATAAAGTAGTACAAAATATCCTAGCATTCAAAATATGTTAAGAACGTGATGCAGTAATATATAAGAGTAACACGCTCAATAGCCAATGGAAATGACACATACGAAGTCGGCGGCACGTAACATTACGCTCGCCAACTACGCGTAAAAATTTATCGGCGCGCATCCGACTGCTGCTCTAAGGCGGAGGCACCAAGACCAATAGGCATGGAACCTGAACGATCATGGGTGCCGCAGGAGGCCAATAAAGTGGTTTCCGTCAACAAGTATAGGGTCGTTAGAGAAAGCAAAAAGAACCTAAGACTAACGTGGTGGGTCCCTAAACGACTGGTAGTGTCCCGGTGGGCTGACATATAAGGCCCCGGTCAGAGCACAAGACCCTCTGAGCGAAGGGAAATGTCCAAGACCACGAATAAATGCGACTGTACGATCAAGAGCGCACGAAAGGTTCATAGAAAGAGCCTGGACAGGAGTAAAGAGGCCTTCGCAAATGAAATCAAAGGAAAAGAGCCCTCGATCAAAGTGGAGGGCCCCTGAGCATCGAGTGCCTCGGTACCTCACCTTATAAGAGCCAAGCAACAACACAAGGCCCTCCAAGCAAGAGGAAGGAACGAGTGTCCATTCATGGAAGCGGATAGCATACCAACAGCAGTGTTGGGCCCGACGAGAAAATGCAGAGATCAAGAGCAACATGGAAAGCTCCGTAGCGAACAGATTGACCCTGCAAGTGGACGTAAAGGGCTAGAGCAACCAACAGCGTAATGCCTCTGGACGACGCAATGAGCCCCAAAATTTCCCCAGGCAACACCCTCTCAATCAACAAAGAGTTAGCTTTTTCTGCTTAGCAATTGTTCTTGGTCGTCTGTAGACCTAAAGAAGTCCACTTTTGTTCTGATTTCGTTGCTAGAAAACTGCGTCCGCTCAGACGGCTATGGGCTCCTTCGGAGCCTTTATGTCCCCTCAGCATGGTCTATGGGGGCATGGCCCGTGCCTACCTCCCCCCCCCCCCCCTCTCCATCCGTCACCCGCCCGAGCAGCTTAATAGATGGGGCCCGCCAAGAACATAGGGCCTTCCATTCAAGTAGGAAGTACCCAAGATCCAATGTAGAAGGCCTTCGTATGATCCAGTGTGCCCGAGCAGGTTAACAGATAGGGTTGCCAACACGAGCGTAGGGCCCTCCATTCCAATGGGAAGCACCCAAGACCCTATGCAAATGGCCCGCGAATGATGGAATGTACTTGGGCGGCTTATCAGAAGAGGCTCGACAAGAGCGTAAGGCCCTCCATTCAAATAAGAAGTACCCGAAACCCAGTGCGGAAGGCCCCCGAAAGATGAAATGTACCCGAGCAGATTATCAGATGGCCCCGACAGGAGTGTAGGGCGCTAAACTCAACCACCAAGACCCGATATACAGGGCCCGAATAATTCAGTGTGGCCGAGAGGGCAAACGGATGGGTCCCGACAAGCGCGTAGGGCTAAGTATCCAAGACACAATGTGGAGCGACCCCGAATGTTCGAGTGGGCCCGAGCAGGTTAACAAATGTGGACCTCGACAAGAGCGTAGGGCCTCCCGTTCAAACATGAAATATCCCCCATACCATGTAGAGGGCCCCAAATAATCGAGTGCGTTAAAGCAGGTTAACAGATAGGGCCCCCGAAAAGAGCGAAGGCCTCTGCATTCAAATAGGAAGTACCCAAAATCAGATGAAGAGGTCCCAACGATCGAACAGGCCCGAGCATCTCATCAGAAGGAGTCCCAACAAGAGCGTAAAGCCCTCCACTCAAATAAGAAGTATCCAAAACCCAGTGTGGAGGGCCCCCGAAAGATGGGGTGTACCCGAGGAAGCTATCAGATGGCCCCGATAGGAGCCCAAGGCCTTGAATTCAAACACCAAGACCCAATGTGCAGTACCCCCCCCCCCCCCCCTAGCAATCCAGAGTGGCCGAGAAGGCGAACAGAGGGCACCCCCGACAAGCGCGTAGGGCCCCATTCAAATAGAACGTGCCCCAGACCCATTAAAGACGGCCTTGAAGGATTGGAATTGGAAGCGCTTTAGACCAATGCAGAGGGCCCAGGAGCATATCGCGAGCGTGTCGGTAGTTTAACCGAGATCCCCGTAAATGGGTCCTGAGCAACCGATGATACCCCGGTAGGTTAAGGTATGAAACCCGGCTATAGCGCACAAAGCCTTTCTAGCGAGTGGAAAGAATCCGTGGAAGAGCCCTTGAGTGACAATAGTGCCCTGGTACACTAGCAGGAAGGGCCTAGCAACAGCGCAGGGCCCTTCGAGCAAATGCAAAGAAATCAAGGGCGACGTGGAAGTTTCCTTAACGATCGGAATGACCCTGAAAGTGGGCATATAGGTCCCTCGAAAACAGCACATGCCCTGTAGACAGAGTAATGAAGCTTAAATTCCCAATTCACGACTTTTTCAATCATTGAAAAATTTCTTGACTTTTCGTGGGCCATTCACTCTCGCTTGCAACGGTTCTTGGTCGCCTGGAAATCCAGAGATGTCCAATTTTTGCGTTTTGTGTCAAAAAACTGCATCTGTTTGGCCATCTTTGGCCCCTTGGAGCCAATAGACCCTTTAGGGCCCGAGGGGGGGGGGCATGAACCCGCGCCCCCTCCCACTGGATTCGCCGCTGGCTTTACGTGATTTTCCGTTTTTTTGTGACAGTACACGTCCGTCAATCTAGCAGCAGATTGATATCCAATTGCCAGTTGGATATTGCGGGGCATCTCGAATGCCCCCAAATTTGGTGTGCAGGGCCTTCTCGACACGCTGATTCCGAAAATCACTACCTTTGGGGTGGAATTTTGCGTAATTTTCGAGTTATACGCCGCGTAACATCCTAATGTGATATTGCGGGGCGTCTCGATTGCCCCCAAATTTGGTGTGCAGGGCCTTCTCAACACGCTGATTCCGAAAATCAATGCCTTTGGGGTGGAATTTTGCGTAATTTTCGAGTTATACGCCGCGCAACGTCCCAATGTGATATTGCGGGGCGTCTCGATTGCCCCCAAATTTGGTGTGCAGGGCCTTCTCGACACGCTGATTCCGAAAATCACTGCCATTGGGGTGGAATTTTGCGTAATTTTCGAGTTATGCGCTGCGTAACATCCCAATGTGATATTGCGGGGCGTCCCGATTGCCTCCGAATTTGGTGCGCAGGGACTTCTCAACGCGCTGATTCCGAAAATCACTGCCTTTGGGGTGGAATTTTGCGTAATTTTTGAGTTATGCGCCGCGTAACATCCCAATGTGATATTGCGGGGCGTCTCGATTGCCCCCAAATTTGGTGTACAGGGGCTTCTGAACACGCTGATTCCGAAAATCACTGCCTTTGGGGTGGAATTTTGCGTAATTTTCGAGTTATACGCCGCGTAACATCCCAATGTGATATTGCGGGGCGTCTCGATTGCCCCCAAATTTGGTGTACAGGGGCTTCTGAACACGCTGATCCCGAAAATCACTGCCTTTGGGGTGGAATTTTGCGTAATTTTCGAGTTATACGCCGCGTAACATCCCAATGTGATATTGCTTCCTCATCCTTGACAGCTTGTTAAAAGGAAAGCAGCAAGCACGTGGACAACTAAGAAGAATCACCTAATTAAGCAGCATTAATATATCGCAGGTTTCACCGCCACTAGGGCAGCTTTCTAAAGCTGCCACGTTGTACGCCTTTTAACTCCAAAGGCCTTGCATACAAAATTTGGAAGCGATCGAGATGCCCCGCAATATCACATTGGAATGTTACGCAGCGCATAACTCGAAAATTACGCAAAATTCCACCCCAAAGATCGTGATTTTCGGAATCAGCGTGTTGAGAAGTCCCCGCGCACCAAATTCGGAGGCAATCGGGACGCCCCGCAATATCACAATGGGATGTTACGCAGCGCATAACTCGAAAATTACGCCAAATTCCACCCCAATGGCAGTGATTTTCGGAATCAGCGTGTCGAGAAGGCCCTGCACACCAAATTTGGGGGCAATCGAGACGCCCCGCAATATCACATTGGGATGTTACGCGGCGATCACTCGAAAATTACGCAAAATTCCACCCCAAGGCATGATTTTCGGAACATTTCGGAACGCGTGGTCGAGAAGGCCCTGCATACCAAATTTGGGGGCAATCGAGACGCCCCGCAATATCACATTGGGATGTTACGCGGCGTATAACTCGAAAATTACGCAAAATTCCACCCCGAAGGCAGTGATTTTCGGAATCAGCGTGTCGAGAAGGCCCTGCACACCAAATTTGGGGGCAATCGAGACGCCCCGCAATATCACATTGGGATGTTACGCGGCGTATAACTCGAAAATTACGCAAAATTCCACCCCGAAGGCAGTGATTTTCGGAATCAGCGTGTCGAGAAGGCCCTGCACACCAAATTTGGGGGCAATCGAGACGCCCCGCAATATCACATTGGGATGTTACGCAGCGCATAACTCGAAAATTACGCAAAATTCCACCCCAAAGGTAGTAATTTTTGGAATCAGCGTGTCGAGAAGGCCCTGCACACCAAATTTGGGGGCAATCGAGATGCCCCGCAATATCCAACTGGCAATTGGATATCAATCTGCTGCTAGATTGACGGACGTGACAGTACTGCTAACACTAGAGCGCGACAATCAAGACGCGCCAGAGGCGAAATCGCAGGCAATGCCCGCGCCATATTTGAACGGCAAGCGTTGGATGTCAATTGTTCCGTTAGTGGATTGTTGTGGTAGAGAATATTAGTTTTACTGGTGGTTTGCGTAGTAATCGGTGAGTATATTGTTACAATGGCATCCCGTCAACTGATTGCCTGATAAATTACTCAAAGCACCAGGAAGATTAGGATTATTTTCCTTGAGATAAGACGGCGGACAGCATCCGACAGCCGACAGGTTCTTAGTTGACGGTGTTGTCCCGAGGCTCGCCACACTGCAAAAAACACACGTCACGCCGAGCGTGTCTGGCGTAGTAGCAAAATCGCGGTAGCAGTTCTAGCACACCTACATTGCAAACCCAAGTGCTCAAAGTTTGACACTTGGCCAGCACCAATTTCAGCACATAGAAAGCCAATGTCCCAAGGAATTGCAATCACTCAGGAAGTTTCTGCCAATATTACTCTGAAATTATGCTTAAATCAGCACAGCTTGACCTGGCTATAGCTTTGTTCCTGTCAGTACAAAGGTTAATGGACTGATGAAGAATAGGTGTCTGATGCAGTCACCAATATATTTTTTTCAGTCTGAGAGCCTGGGCTTGCCTTGTGTTGGCCTAGACATAGTCAAAGGGTATTCGGCATACCAAAGAGTCTTTGCTGACTTAAAGGTGTACAAAGTCACAGTGTGCTCTGGCTCTTTCAGTACCCTTCTTTTTCACAGGCTCACCATTTTTATTCTTAATTAGTGTTGTCCCTTATTTTTGAGACCACATGGGTGGCAAATGTCATATTGTGAGTCAAGCAGAGGCCTGAACTAATTGTTAAGTTCAGGATAAGTATTTAAGATACAGGATTTGTCTTAAGGTACCTGCCATATGTTAATACAATAGGCACCCGATACTCAAGATGTTAAACTAATGCATGAAATGCAAACTAATAAAAACCACCCCATTAACCCACACATCTCCCACAATTCATGTTCAGTATGTGGTGTAGTGTGCTGGCCAAAGTCACAGCAGTCAGCTGGTGCTGACTGGTGTTTGCCATAGTCAATTAATGTGTGTGTTATGATGTCACTGACCTGGGCCCTCCCGGACTATATGTTGCTATTTGTGAACCTTAATCATATGAAAGGCCAGAGTTACAGAGCAGCCCTTGAGAGCCGTGTGGGAGGGCCTCAGACAACCCATCAGCCCTGCTGTGCTCAGAAAATAACTTCTCAACAGCTTAAGCATGATGCTGAAATTATGTGCAGCTGAGTTTGCATCATGCTACAACATTTTTCTTTTGAATTTAAAGTTTCTGGCCCTAACAGGTACTATCCATGACCTCTTGCTCAAGATCATGTTGATGGAATTTTGCTCACAAGTGACATCATGGCTCCAATTTAGCTACAAAAGCATATCAAGGAGATTTTTAACACTGATTTTTGTCACTGCATCACTCTTAAGTGCACTATGATCATTCTCACCACTATGGCATGGTCAGATTGTGTTGGATTAAGCAAGGTCTAGCTGTTGCTGTTGTGACCACCGCCATCTTAAGGCAAAAAGGTGTAAGTGGCATTTTACCTTATGACGGTAAAGCCTTTTTGAACTTGGATGCCAAGCCACATACAACCTTTTGACTATCACCTGATGTTTGCCTTAATGGTGTCTATATTGTAACTGTGTAAGCCCTTTCTGTCTTTGTTTTCCCCATTAAATTTGTTTTATATTGGATATAATACAGCTGGATGGTCAATGCATCAACAGCTTTCACTTCTGTGACCTGACATAACATGTCACAGGTTATATCTGCTGAAATGTTTTAGTGTTCATCAGATGTAATTTTCCAAGAGCTATTGAACTCTGTTCGTCACAATGCCATAACATGCATAGTTCTTGAGATACCAAGACAGGTCTACACAGTCCCATGTTGACCCCTATGTCCCTTGGACCCAAATCGCACCTGGTCTGGCCCAGGTCAGATCGCGGCAGCGCGGAGGCGTGTCCGACGTCAGCCATTCTCCCACAGGCTATGCTGCTGAGCGAGCCGCACCCGCTGGAGGCGCGGCAGGGCGGCCGGCCGCTCGGTCTGCTCTGGCCGCCGGACCCCGGCCCCGGCGGCCTGCTGGTGCGCGTCACCGACCAGCGCGCGCTCATCGACGGGGCTCCGCTTACCAGGTGGGCACCACCGGCGCGCCGCCGCCGCACCACCGGCGCACCGCCGCCGCACCACCGCCGCACCACCGCCGCACCAGGCGGCCGGCGCGGTGTGCGTGGTGATGCGGCGGCCTTTGAGCTGAGAAATCATGTTGGTATTTAAGTGAACAGAGTCAGTGAACGTGCGGTGTTGGTGTGTCGGCGGTGCGGTGTTGGATCGTCACATTACTTGTCATTCCACCACTTGATGCGCGTGTCCGTGGTTGCCTCCCCATTTTTTATTCGCTTCGCGAGACGGCTATGAATAGCAACAGCATTGGGTTTCATAGCAACGCGTGCCCCGGTGTTCGGCTGGTGCCGACTGAACAGGGCGAAGGGCTGAGAATAGCACGGTGGATGCGTCGTTTGATGCGGGTAGGAATGGACTGGTGCAAGGCAGACGTGGGGATGAAGCCCGGCTTCATTTTTAGAAGTTTTCTGATACTTTTGATTCTCATGTTTTCTCATTGATAACAATTTTATTTCAGGTATCGTACAGATTCGTATTCTCGTTGGTTTCCCAGAATGAAAGTATTGGACGGGCCATTTTGGATTTGAATATTCTCCCGCTTATTTAGCTGGAGGAGAGAGGAGTTCTGAGAACAGCTTAGCTGGAGAAGGTGGATGACCGCCCTCCCTGTTGCCTTTTCGTGTGTATATGCAATAAGACCAAACACGACCGCCAAACGAGACGTGTCCGTATCCGGTGTGTGGAGGCCGCTCCGGGCCGGCGGGGCGTCCGTGGCCTCGTCTTCAGCCGTCGCTGTGACCGCTGCCGGCAGGTTCGACATGGACCCGGACACGGAGGCGGCGTTCGACGCCCTCTGCGTCCGGGAGCGCCAGACGCCGTCCAAGCTGCTGCTGGAGGCGTGGACGGTGGCGCCGCTGACAGCCGGCGCCGGTCTGCGCGTCACCGGCTGGACCTGGCGCGGGTGAGACGCGCGCCGCCGCCGGTGGCCGGCGCCGGCGGCCGGCGTCCGTGACACGGGCTTGGAGCGGTGTCATGAAAGAGCCGGTGCAGCCGGGTTGAATGTCCTGAACCGTTGCGGGCTGGTGGAATGGCATGAACCGGCCTTGGAATGATAAGTGACGCCCTCTGAGCTGCCTTCAGAGTGGAAAAAAGACTGGATAATCTGCTGACTGAAATTGAACATTGCTGCAGATGGAAGGCAATGGCTCCCGATTACCTTCCATTTCATTAGTGGGGAAGATAAAAGGGAGTTGTTGGTCCCGATGGTGCCGTGGCGTGAGACTGCTGCACCAGCAGGCTGTAACGGTGGCCAGGCGGCCTGTCCAGTGACCAGCCTCTGTGGTGCCGTGGCGTGAGACTGCTGCACCAGTAGGCCGTAACGGTGGCAGACGGCCTGTCCAGTGATCAGCCTCGGTGGTGCCGTGGCGTGAGACTGCTGCACTAGTAGGCCGTAATGGTGGCCAGGCGGCCTGTCCAGTGACCAGCCTCGGTGGTGCCGTGGCGTGAGACTGCTGCACCAGTAGGCCGTAATGGTGGCCAGGTGGCCGGTCCAGTGATCAGCCTCGGTGGTGTCGTGGCGTGAGACTGCTGCACCAGTAGGCCATAACGGTGGCCAGACGGCCTGTCCAGTGATCAGCCTCGGTGGTGCCATGGCGTGAGACTGCTGCACCAGTAGGCCGTAATGGTGGCCAGACGGCCTGTCCAGTGGTCAGCCTCGGTGGTGCCATGGCGTGAGACTGCTGCACCAGTAGGCCGTAATGGTGGCCAGGCGGCCTGTCCAGTGGTCAGCCTCGGTGGTGCCGTGGCGTGAGACTGCTGCACCAGTAGGCCGTAACGGTGGCCAGACGGCCTGTCCAGTGGTCGGCCTCGGTGGTGCCATGGCGTGAGACTGCTGCACCAGTAGGCCGTAACGGTGGCCAGACGGCCTGTCCAGTGGTTAGCCTCGGTGGTGTCGTGGCGTGAGACTGCTGCACCAGTAGGCCATAACGGTGGCCAGACGGCCTGTCCAGTGATCAGCCTCGGTGGTGCCATGGCGTGAGACTGCTGCACCAGTAGGCCGCAACGGTGGCAGACGGCCTGTCGAGTGATCGGTCTTGGTGGTGCCGTGGCGTGAGACTGCTGCACCAGTAGGCCGTAACGGTGGCAGACGGCCTGTCGAGTGATCAGCCTCGGTGGTGCCGTGACGTGAGACTGCTGTACCAGTAGGCCGTAATGGTGGCCAGACGGCCTGTCCAGTGATCGGCCTCGGTGGTGCCGTGGCGTGAGACTGCTGCACCAGTAGGCCGATTCGCTGCAATCATGTTCGGCGCGGACTATGCCATAGTTCGTGATTGGTGCGTTTTTTCGTTCGCAAGCGTTCGTCATCGTCCGTAGTGTTAGTTTAAAGCCAGCGGAGTTGCATTTGTCGATTTTTTATTTATTTTTGTCTTGAAGCACGCACCACATAAAAGCAATCAGTTTCTATTTATAAAAAAGTTTTAATAGGACAATTGCACTGCTGTCACCCCATACAAAACCTCTACGAATGAACTCTGTTGGGAGTTGGGCGGTGCGACTGACGCCATTCACCGGCTGCCGCGCGGCAGACGGGGCCCGGCTCGGGGTGTCCGTAGCTCCGTAGCGGATAGCCTCGTACACGAGCGTACGCTCCAGCTGGGCCGGCCTGGCGGAGAGGCTGGCTCGCTGGCGCCGCTCTGGGGCTGGCTCGCTGGCGCAGCTCTGGGGCTGCTCGCTGGCGCCGCTCCGAGGCTGGCTCGCTGGCGCCGCTCCCAGGCTGGCTCGCTGGCGCCGATCTGGGGCTGGCTCGCTGGCGCCGCTCTGAGGCTGGTTCGCTGGCGCTGCTCCGAGGCTGGCTCGCTGGCGCCGTTCTGGGGCTGGCTCGCTGGGGCCGCTCTGGGGCTGGCTCGCTGGCGCCGCTCTGAGGCCGGTCGGGCGGCGGTGTACCGTTTGTTACGAGAAACTGCTGCATTTGTCGCTTCACAGTTGACGAACTGTTACGTCATCTGGTGTCTTGGACAAGGCAGAATGCTGCGGTTTTACACAGTTGCAGATAGTTTAGTAGTAAGAGCGCGTAGTCTGTTGCCAGCTTTCCTGAAGGGACGCGTACAGGCCTCTGACCAGTGCTGCTCATTTTATGCATGACGGCAGATGGGAGCTGATTTACACTCGAATCCAAAGTGCATGGGCAGTGCATGAAGCTCCATGTATGAGAAGTGCTCGGAAGCATGCGAAATAGTGACGCGCGGGATTCTACACGGAGACGTTCCCGCGATATGTGGCGAACCTTTCCGGCGTGAGCTTAGAAACAAAATGGCACGGACAAAAATAATTTCCCAAAAAAAGTTGCACGGTGTTTGAGATGTGTTAAGTCACGTGCAAGTCCGTATGATCAAGCATTGAGTTGTCTTGGCTGAGGTATGTCTAGTTGTGTGAGGTTTTCATTGTTATGTGTTATTGCATCTTTACGCTGTACCGTACACAAATTGTTGGGTATTGTTGCGTGAAATAATTTTCGCATACCGCCTATGTTACTCATCGGACGTGATTTCCTATGCTGGTATTCTGTACAGTGCTTCCTCTCTAATTGGAGTCGTAGCAGAAACGTGATCGTTGTTCGTGAAGCTACTGTAATTCCAGACATGGGTGGATTCTGACTGGACGAAGACCTCCTTGCCGAATATCGCTCGACGGTTGTGATGTCCATCGCCAGTTATAACGCCGTTGTGTCACTGTGTCCCGCCCTGATCTGAGTGACTGCGGGACGTTAACGCCTTTTTACTGTGATTTTTTGTACCTATGTGTACTGGCGAGTATTGAATCTGGCTTTGACGGACCGTGTCTGCGGCCAGCACGTCATCTGGTAAGAAATACTGGTTATTGCCTGGCCCGATTGTCTCAGCGGATCAGTTTTCTGGTCGAAGGCACGGTGTTTGCATTTTCTGCATCGCCTTAACATGTGCTGCAACAGGTTTCTTGACAATGCACATTTTGGTGGCTGTCTTCGTGACGAGTGACGACCCCGCATCTTGTCGATGCTCCAAAGCCACTCTTACCTCTTCCAGCGGAGAGAGAACCATTCAGTGGAGTACTGCCATCTCCCGACGAATTTCGGAACGAGAAGTGCAGGACGCCAACGGCCAGCTGTTCGTTCTGTTGGGAAACCTAAGTGTGGAGACGGCAGAGACTAACGGTGGGTGCTGTCCGGGTGTCGGTCTGGCGATCCTGCTGAGGCCGGCCGGACTCCCGAGCACGGCTACTGCATCCGCAGTGCAGTAGCCCTGCAGGCACACTGCACTCTTACAGTCCGCGTCTGCAGACACACTGCACTCTTTCAATCTGCATGTGCAGTGCAGTGCGTGTGCAGACACACTGCATTCTTACAGTCCGCGTCTGCAGACCCACTGCACCCTTACAATCCGCTTCCGCAGGCACACTGCATCCTTACAATCCGCGTGTACAGTGCAGTGCGTCTGCGGGCACACTGCACTCTTGCAATCCGCTTCTGCAGTGCAGTGCGTCTGCAGATCCACTGCACCCTTACAATCTGCGTGTGCAGTACAGTGCGTGTGCACATGCGTCGTAGGCGGCGGCGGCGGTGTCACCGAGCGCCGCCCCTGCCGCAGGTGTGCCGGTGCTGGCGCAGACGGCCTTCTCGTCCGGCCTGCCCGCCCGCTGGCAGGCGATGGCCACCGAGCTGCAGGCGCTGCACGGTGAGGGCGAGCGCTCGGCCGCCGCTGACCGGCCTCAGCCGCCGCGTCGGGCCGGCGCCGCTGGTGGCCGGCGCTCGCTATGTAGGCTCTCGGTGACGCCCGCTGAGCTGAGGTGTACAGGGTGTGGCAGCAGGGCTCGCCGTGCGTTGCGTCAACCCGCGGATGGTGTATCCTGTCGTTCAGTGGGACCCGAGTGCGTGATAAAATTGTTTTTAAGCACTATAATGATCAAATGCGATTTAAATTTTGACGAATTTGAACGGATTGAAGACAATGTGAGATAAGTAAGAGATAAATGTGCCCATGGGTGTTGTGTTTTGTCCATGTGACTTTAAACTGGACATGCATATAAAATATTTATTAGGATCATGAAAAATATCCTCGCTATGTCATATGGGACGCGATTGAATGTTGGCTTCGTAGAAAGGCAGTTTGTCATGCGTATCATGAACTGAGTTGGCAAGTCGGACCTAATTCAGTTCTGATTATGTAATCATGAAGGTCGCGTTCAGTGTTCTTGCAATGCCTCGCAATCATTACATAAGGTTATTTTGAATATATTGTACTTATTTCTCTATCCGCACAATGCCGAGGAAAACACAGTGCGCGAACGTGCCCCTAAATGTGTATTTTTAAGGAGCAAGAAACGTTTTCCCAGCTCTCATTCTGGGACCTCAGAGAATGTTCAGTTTAAATGTCCCACCATGACCTGCGTTTGGTGCCGCTGCCACCTCAAACTCTTCCCTCCCCCCCCCCCCCTCCCCCCGCGCCCTGTTCCGTGTCCCCGCCGCCGGCCCGCCGCTGCCGCCCTGCCTCACGCTCGCCGTTTCGCCTCCTCAGCGATGACGGCAAGAGCAGCGGCGGCCGCCGGGCCACCCACGCCGCCGGCGGAGACGGCACCGTCTCCGCCGGCGGCGGCGGCAGCGGTGCCGTCCGCCGCCCCGTCGGCCGCGCGGGACGGGACCGGCGGCGGCGGTGGTGTGGCGGATCCGAGCGGTGACCCCCAGCACCCGGACAACGGCCGACGCCGCGGTCGGGCCCAGCCGCCTGGCAAGGGGGCAGCGGCCCCTGCCAAGCAGACACGAGCCCCTGCCAGGCAGACACGAGCCCCCGCCAAGCAGACACAAACCCCTGTCATGCGGACACGGACTGCGACCAAGCGGACACCCACCCCCGCCAAGCGGACACCCACCCCCGCCAAGCGGACACGCACTCTCAGCAAGCGGACAACCACTCCCGGCAAGCGGACGCGCACTCTCGGCAAGGGGGCACTCACTTCCAGCAAGCGGACACCCACTTCCGGCAAGCGGACACCCACTCCCGGCAAGCGGACACGCACTCTAGGCAAGCGGACACCCACCCCCGGTAAGCGGACACCCACTCTCGGCAAGCGGACACCCACCCCCGGCAAGCGGACACCGGCTGCCGCCAAGCGGACACCGACCGTCGCCAGAGGTACGGCGCCGTCCGGCTCGCCGCCGGCTCTGAGCAGGGAATTCTCGGCGACGCTGTACGACCGTCTAAAGCACAGCAGCGGCCGGCAGCGGGCGGGCCGGCGAAGCCTGCGTGTTGCGCTGGTGCGGCTCCCCAGCCCGCGGTCGGGCCGCTCCGCCGCCGACGCGGCCAAGACTGCCGACGCTGCCAAACCAGCCGGCAGACCCAAGGCGGCGAAACCAGCACCGAGCCGGCGGACTGCCAAGGCAGCCAGATGTGCCAAGGCTTCCACGTCGAGACGGGCCGATAGCCCTGACGGAGTGGTCGCAGCTGACGAGGTCGCAGCACTGTCGGCTGAACCAGATAGAGTCGCCAAATCTGCCAAGCGGACCAAAGCCACCAAAGCAGCCAAGGCTAAACCCGCCAAGGCTTCTGAGCCTGTGAAGCCTGCCAAACCGTCGAAACGCACCAAATCTGCTAAAGTGGCCGAGAACGTGCCATTGGAAGGTGACGATGGCGAGGCGGGCGCGGCGGCAGCGGCGGCGGTGGCGAGAGAAACAGAGCCGCCCCATCCACTCACCGCCATCAAGCCGGCGGCGCGCAGCCGCAAGCGTAAGCAGGGGACCGAGTCGGCGACGGCCGGGGCTGATCCGGCCGGCCCGGAGGCCAAGTCGGTCGGCGGGGGCCGAGGCGAGCCCGCCGATGCCGGGGGTGATCCGTCCGCCCCCGCCCCCGCCCCCGCCGGCAGGGGCAGAGGCAGGAAGCCGGCCGCCAAGAAGCCGGCGCCCCCGCCCGCCGGCGCCGCGCGGAACGAAGAAGTGCAGCAGCCTCCTGCGAAGAAGAAGGCCCGTCCGGCGACGTGTGCCTCAGGTGAGTGACGTCAGAGGAGCGTGGTGTGGGCCTCAGGCGCGTCGGGTCGTCCCGCAGCGTGGTGAGGGCCTCAGATGTGCCGGGTCGTCCCGCAGCGTGGTGAGGGCCTCAGGCGTGTCGGGTCGTCCTGCAGCTTGGCTTTGGCCAGGCCGGTAGGCGCCACGGCGCCGTTTGCGCTGCCAGGACAGCGGCGTGAAGCGCACCAGTGTTATGTCATGCTGTTCAATGTCACGCGACCCCAAACGCTACGTCAACCGGCCCATTGTTACGCGGCTGCACACGGTGCACCACGATGTCGCACGGCGTAACACGGTGTCAGACTCGTCCGTGACCGCACGCGGTGTCACACGGGGTCACACGGCGGGCGGCGCCCTGACCGGCGCCGTGCCGACAGACGCGGCGGCACCAGCGGCGAGGCCCGGCACGCAGCGGCACCAGCTGCAGCGGATGGCCTTCCTCAGCGCCCAGAACACCGAGACGGACGACCTGTTCGCGTGTCAGCAGCTGGGCGGCGGCGGCGGTGGCGGCCTGCTGGACCTCGGCGGCGGCGAGGTGAACGCCGCGGTCACGCCGTGCGCGCGGGGCCGCGGCCGCGGCCGCCGCCTGCACACGGCCACGCCGCTGGCGACCCTCGGCGCCGTCGCCACGCCCGCCACCGCCGCGCGCACGCCCAGCTCGTCGCTCATCAGCCCCGGCAACCCGCTCAACTCGGTGCACAGGTGAGCGGCGCCGGCCGGCGACGGAGGGCGGCAGGGGCGGGGTGCGCGGCTCGTGGTGCTGGGTCGAGACGCATGAGACCGCGGCAGTGGCGGCGTGTCTTTGTGGATTGAAGTGTCCTGCGTTGGAGGATTTGAGAGTGCAGTGACATCGGATTATTTGCAGGCAAGCTCAGGGCGTGCGATAGCAAAGTTGTATTGCTTGATGTGCGCTCACCTCGTGCGAGGTGTCCGGCAAAACGCGTAACTTCGGCGCCGCATCCGCTCATTCGTGGTTCACCACAGGCGCCAGGTGGCCTTGTAATCGATCGTCCTGGCAAACGTTACACACACAAGTCGCTTTGTGCTGTCGTCACAGGCAGCACGCTTTCTGTACCGGTGGCTGGCTGTGGTGTTCTTACCGCTGGTCAGCGCCAGTCTAACAGACAGGCGCTGACTAGCGGTTACGTCCGCCGTCTGGTGTGCTGTGCACCACGCTGGTGCTGCCCTCGTCTGACGGTGGCGGTTGTCCTGCCCCGTTGCTGGAACCTGGCGGTCGGGACTGCTTCCGCCGACGGCTGATGGCGGCTACCCGACAAGCGTTGACTGTGATTGTCTGGCATGCTGATGGTGTCTGCCGACTGGCCTGTTGGCGGGGTCTGTGCTGACCGGCTGTGCCAGGCCCGCCCCGTCGGTGGTGGCGTCCGTGCCGCCCTGCCGGCCGCCGCTGCCCTAGCCCGGCTGACCGGCCTGACCCCTGACCTGACCCCACCTGACGTTCGTCTGACCCCACCTGACCTCGCCTGACCCCCACCTGACCCCAGCTGACCCGGCCGGCAGGGAGACAGCCGCCCGGTACATGGTGAGCCGACAGCGTGGCGGCGCAGCCGCCCGCCAGCGGCTCCGTCTGGCGGCGGAGGCCGACCCGAGGCCGGCCGCCGACGCCGACGTCCAGCTCATGGCCGAGGTGAGGCTGCCGAGCGGCGGCGCTCCGAGGCGCTGGTGCGGTCTGGACGGTGCGCTGGCGCTGGTGAGGCGTCACGGACGCCGGAGGCGCTGGCCGCCACGGCGCCCGCGGCGAAGCTGTCGCACCTGCCGGAACTCTGTCAGCATGAGAAGTGTGTGGTGATGAGCCGTCACGACTTCGCTGACGTACGGTGCCCAGCGCTCTCTCTCTCTCTCTCTCTCTCTCTCTCTCTCTCTCTCTCTCTCTCTCTCTCTCTCTCTCTCTCTCTCTCTCTCTCTCTCTCTCCTCTCTCTCTCTCTCTCTCTCTCTCTCTCTCTCTCTCTCTCTCTCTCTCTCTCTCTCTCTCTCTCTCTCTCTCTCTCTCTCTCTCTCTCTCTCTCTCTCTCTCTCTCTCTCTCTCTCTCTCTCTCTCTCTCTCTCTCTCTCTCTCTCTCTCTCTCTCTCTCTCTCTCCTCTCTCTCTCTCTCTCTCTCTCTCTCTCTCTCTCTCTCTCTCTCTCTCTCTCTCTCTCTCTCTCTCTCTCTCTCTCTCTCTCTCTCTCTCTCTCTCTCTCTCTCTCTCTCTCTCTCTCTCTCTCTCTCTCTCTCTCTCTCTCTCTCTCTCCTCTCTCTCTCTCTCTCTCTCTCTCTCTCTCTCTCTCTCTCTCTCTCTCTCTCTCTCTCTCTCTCTCTCTCTCTCTCTCTCTCTCTCTCTCTCTCTCTCTCTCTCTCTCTCTCTCTCTCTCTCTCTCTCTCTCTCTCTCTCTCTCTCTCTCTCTCTCTCTCTCTCTCTCTCTCTCTCTCTCTCTCTCTCTCTCTCTCTCTCTCTCTCTCTCTCTCTCTCTCTCTCTCTCTCTCTCTCTCTCTCTCTCTCTCTCTCTCTCTCTCTCTCTCTCTCTCTCTCTCTCTCTCTCTCTCTCTCTCTCTCTCTCTCTCTCTCTCTCTCTCTCTCTCTCTCTCTCTCTCTCTCTCTCTTTTCCGTGGCGTTGTCGGTTTACAGCCTTCCGCCCCGTTCCCTCTCTCCGTAGACCGAGCTTTTCTCGAACTGTGCGCGTCCCTGCCTCCGGCAGTCGTGCTCTCCCCCCCCCCCCCCTCCCCCGCGCGCTGTCCGACTCGGATACCGCCGTGAAGCGCGTGCGAGGGCCGCCTTTCTCGCGCTGGCGGCGGCGCCTGTCCCGTGGCCGGCCCGAGCCCCGCTCTGGCGGTCAGGTCGTCACATGCGGGTGGCGGGCGCCCGTGCCTGCCGCTGTCTTGGATCGGTGGTGAGCACATGGTGGGAGCAGTTGTGCTTCTGTCGGCTCCTGCGCGGAGCCCCGGGTGTGGTGACCCCTGGCCCATCTAGTGATGTCCGCGCCGCCGCACCTCACAAACGCCGCGACCTTTTGCCTCTTGTGGAATGAGGGGGGGGGAGGGCTCCGTATCCACCCTACCATCTTGTTTCCTTGCTGCCCCCTCCTCCCCCCCCCCCCCCCCCGTGTTGTGGTGCGAGCTCTCAGCGCGTGTCGTCCGCTGACCTGACGGTGACCCCGCGACCTCAGGTCATCGGCAAAGACGCTGACTGGCTGCTGGGCCAGTCGGACCTCCGCCGCGAGGACGAGGACGAGGACGACTACTTCGAGTTCGAGGACGACTGAGACCGCGGCCGTCCGGTCGCCGTCTGGCGGGTCAGCTGCGGCATGGGAAGCAGTGCTGTGCAGTGCGGCAGTGCTATCGTGACCTGATTCTTAAGCGCGGTGCCATACGGCGTCGGCCGTGGTGGCGCTCTCGGCCGTCTGACCTCCGAGCGTTGTGGCCGGAGCGTGATCATCACCGTCGCGGCTGGTCCTAGAGCGGCCCCGACAGGCTGGCGGTGTTCCGCCGGGTAAGACTGGTCCGAGAGCGGCCCCGACAGGCCGACGGTGTTCCGCCGGCCAGGACTGGTCCGAGAGCGGCCCCGACAGGCTGGCAGTGTTCTGCCGGCCAGGAGGAGCGGTCCGAGGCGGCCCCGACAAGCAGGTCGTGGAGCCGTCGCCGCCGCCGGCCCCGCGGGGAGGGCGTGGCGCCACCTCCCCCTCGCCGGTGTTGTTGCTGTCGCGGATCAGAGCCGGAACTGTCGTTACCGATCGTCGATCGGCTCGGGTAGACGGCCGATCGGTTTTTACCTGCGTGCTTTGTGCTTGTTGGCTTCGGAGTGTACCGTTTGTGTGCCGTGCGGTGGGCGTCGTATGTGGATGGACGAGAAATGGTGCGTGCGCGAGGCAGGCAACGCTGCTTGCCCTTCGAGACTTTTTTTCGCGTCCTTTGCCTTTGTCTGCTTTTGTGTGCACAGATTTGGCGGACGTAGACATGTGAGGCTAAGCTCGCGCCAAATGACGCCGGCATGGCGGCGTTCCAGCCTAGTCCCTCAGCTAGAGATGACTTGCACGCTAGAGATGTCCACATACGGGATTAATGAAAGCATGCGAGTAATGCTCGCCTTAAGGGTTCACATTGTTCGTTCAACAGTTCAAAGAGTACGTGCACATTGTCAACTACACTACGTGTATGTACATTCGTCGCCTGTCCTGTCATGTATTGGCATGATAAATAAGCACAACTCGGAATATCGCAGCACGTATATCCCGCAAGCCATTTCAAAGCGGGGCAAGCTGTTGCTTGATAAGTACATGTCTGTCCGCAGACTGATCCAAAAGACTTGCACCGGCCATGGAGACTGGAGGGCCTCGTGCGGAGCGCATCGAATTTCACAATGGCTCTCCGTCCACACGAACGAATCATATTGATTTGTGACCAAAGGGGCGTTACCTGGTCCTACGCTTCCGCTTCCGTGCGTGCAAATATGTCCGCGCGCGGGAAAGCGTACCAGAAGAAAACGATGTCCTTCATACGATTCCCCGCCGACCGGTCATCCGTCCGAGGCGGTAATGCTAAGCAACATCGTACAAAAATACGTCTGCAGCGTCACACAGCTTACGAACACCGCGGCACACAGCGGGGATGCGGCCCGTCCCCCACGGTCGCCGCCGCCTGCCGCAGGGCAGACCCGGGCCGCGTGCACCGCCGCACGCGCGCGGGGTCACACCATCCACACAGCCGACGCCTCGAGAACGGCTCGCCGCCCGCACTCGCCACACACACACACAGACATACATACGCACACAGACTCCAGCTGCTCCGAGGAGGCAGTGCCCACGCCACGCCGATCAATCACCGTCAGCAACTCCCGGCAGGCGGCGCTGTGCGCGCGCGCGCCCTCTGCGCCGCAGCACGGTGCCGGCCGGCCGCCGCGCGTCTAGAACTCCCAGTAGGTCGCCACGGCCAGGTCGGAGGTGCCCAGCGCGAACGAGCCGTTCTTCTGAGCGCACAGGTAGTTGCCGTGCTGGTCCTTGATGCACATACGCGTGGGCTCGCGCAGCTCCATGTAGAACGGGTACGGCTGGTCGGCCGAGGCCGAGATGCCGTCCTCTGGCGCCCAGTACTTGCCGTTCTGGCCTGAGATGGCAGATGCCGACGCCGGACGGTGTCAGTCAGTGCGTGTCCAACACTAGCGGCATGGTGCTTCGGTCTATCGGAGATGCCACCCCTGGCTGTTTGTACCGTTACGGTCTCAGTAACATGACACCAGGCTCCCAGCTCACCGGCAGATTTTGGTTCAACGACATGCTGCGAGCCACAGCATCGTCACGACACTGACCCGCCCGTAAACCAGCATATCCAAGCCATGTGATGTTAACCGATTCATTTGAAAATCTCTGATATCCGTCTTACGCATTTGCTCCTCATGCACACCTGACCCAATGTCATGTGACCTGACCCAACGGCCTGCCCCATACCCCTCTTCTCGCCGTTCAGTGTCCACTGCCCACCCCTCATCGTTACATCAGGCGCCGCCGTGTCCTGGCTCTCACCGTTCCCGCCCCGGCCGCGTCGCTCCACCCCCTCACCTTTGAAGAACACCTGGCCCTTGTCCCCGCGCTCCACGTGCACCGTCTCGTAGTGGGTCTTGTTGCACTCCAGCTTGGTGGACGCCGAGCTCTTGTAACCGACGAAGCCCTGCTCGCACTTGAGCACCAGGATCGGCCTGCCCAGACAGGCACATGTCACGGCCTGCCGAAGCTGCCCGGCATCCCGCCGCTGCCCTTCCCCTCAAGCTCAGCTGATGCGGCACAGTGGATTACTTCACGACGGATGAAAACAGCGACGATATCATCATCCGTCTGACAAACGCCGCGCCATACCACGTGTGCATGAAGGGCACGTTTTTCCCGCAGCGTACATGAGTTCAATGAACGCGACCGGAATAACTCCTACTCGCGAGGGGTGCTACCCTCTGGTCATAGCGTTACGTAAAGCTCTTGTGGAGCATTTCTGTGGTAAAAGCAGGCAGATTTGAGGGCGAAATCGGCAAGCAGATCTCAAGTCACAATCTGCAGGCAGATTTCAAGTCAAAATCGGCAAGCAGATTTCAAGGCGAAATCGTCAAGCACCTTACGGAAGTGATCGCCTGTGTTTTGTGAAGTAATTTTCAACGTCATTTACTTGTTTCATTGGTGGCGCACACTCCAAGCTGCCCCGAACACATCACCACTCAAATCGCATTTAACCCTTCGAAATGAAAATCTGGAACGCCGCTGACTTCTTTGTTCCGCCTCGGCCGCAGCCCGCCGGGGAACACCTACCCGGCGCCAGTCGGCACCAACCTGTTGATCAGGTAGAAGAAGAACTTGGCGTTCTCCTCATTCTCCTCCGAGTTGGCGTACAGGTGGCCGGACTTCTTGGTGGCCAGACACTTGCCGTTGTTGGCCCGGAACGACACGGAGCCGTCATGGTGCCACACCAGGTCAAACAGGGCGTTAGACGTCCTGGAACAGGCCAACGGCGCGTTATACGACCCGGAACGGGTCAACGGTGGAACGGGTCACATGACGCAGAGGTCACGTCAGGTCAAGCGGGGCGTTGGATGACCTGCACGTAAGGCACATTTAGCAGGAGGACGAGACCCGTGCGCGCAGACCACAGACTCGTGGCACTCGGTGCTGGTCCTGGTCCGGATGTGCAGCCGGATGACCTGCTGCGACACCGTGCGGTCACGGAGCAGTCTCAAAGTATTCCTTTCTTGTTGAAACTGTTCTACAAACTCGAAAATAACGTTCGCAGGAAATGGATGTCGGCATTTATATAATTTGAACCGAATCGCACGTTAAAAACCGAATGGCGTCACAAAGTGTAACACAGTCTCAGACTGGGCCACGTGCATCCGCAATAATAAACCGAACGCTCAGCCCACACTTCAGTGACGAGTGATGCCATGAGACTGATGATGTCTGATGTCATTTGGCGCTAACAGCCACGAATAGCACACTCAGCGCTTGTTAATACGACCACGAGCGCCGAAGCCGGGGAGCCACGCGATGCGTCAGCGCGTGGCTCACCCGTCAGCGCGCCCGTGTTACTCACAGCCGCAACAGCCTTTAAAGGCGCGCTCTGGAGTCGGGACAAAGAGCGCGGACCGAGCTAGTGACTCAACGCTGGCGACCAGCATGCTCACCAGGTGTGAGGGAGCGGCGTGGGGTTGGGGGCAGCTCCAGGAATCCAGAACAGGCTCGCGCGGCAACCGCAAAGCACGGCTCCGGCGGCTGGTGTCGGGGATAACGGGCCCGCACCTGCGCCCGTGTTCACGAGCCCAGCTGGCTGACACCGACCCCATGACGCGGACACAGCCAGCCAAGCCGCGTTGGCCGCGCGGACACAGCCAGCCAGCAGCGCCAGCCAAGCCGCGTTGCACAGTGTCGATGCACGTGACCTGACCCGCGGTGGCCAACGCGCGGCTAAAGAATGACCGGTCCTACGCACGAAAGTGCCGAAACGAGAATCCCCGATTTCGATCGCATTTCACTCTGAGTCATCTTAGGGCAATCGCACGGTCCGTTTGAGTGAAATGCTCGCAAGCTACCAGGCAGACGCATCCCGCGATCTGGAATTGTCCTGCTTCGATGGTGGGTACAGACAAAGTGTGCGCGAAACACGTGCTGCAAAGCATGCCAAATGCACCTACGTAGCCAACCAAGTCGCATATCGCGGCCGTTCGAAGCGCATGTCCTCCGGCAAACGCCGGATCCTGTACTCGGCGTCTCCTACTGCACCATCAGGTCGAGAAACCCGATCCAAGTCACCGGAGCGGAATACCGTTCTCTGGCCCCCAACCCCGACCCTCACCCTTAGCCCCGCCCACCGCCAGTCCACGGCGACCGCTGCTCGGCGCCCTCTCCCGCTACTGACTTTTTGCCAGACGACGCCTGGATGCCGCCGGTGGTCTCCAGGGTCCAGTAGCGGTCGAGCATGGTGCGGATGTACCAGCGTCGCGTGGCCAGATCGAACTCCATCAGGAATCGCTCGTGCTCGCCCACCTCCTCCTGATTGGCCGTCAGGTCGACTCCTGAAGCGGGTCAGGTCGGCACAGGTCAGCTTCACAGAGGCACAGCTCAGGTCAGCTTCACAGTGACATGGTTCAGGTCAGCTTCACAGTGGCACGGCTCAGATCAGCTTCACAGTCACAGGTGGCACGGCTCAGATCAGCTTCACAGTGGCAAGGCTCAGGTCAGATTCACAGTGGCACGGCTCAGGTCAGATTCACAGTGGCACGGCTCAGGACAGCTTCACAGTGGCACGGCTCAGGACAGCTTCACAGTGGCACGGCTCAGGTCAGCTTCACAGAGGCACGGCTCAGGTCGGCTTCAGAGGCACGGCTTAGGTCAGCTTCAGAAGCACGGCTCACCGGTTCGGGCATGGTCGGATCGACACGCTTCGCCGAGAGCCCAGCTTACCCCGGGTGGGACAGCGCTAAGGGCATGATGTATGGGTGGCTAACAAACTTCCACATCAGGTGGCAATACTTCTCGTCATTCCTAGCGAAGTTTCCAAACAAGCCAAACCCACTTTACGCCGCTTAATTCAAGCACACCGCCGCGATCCCGAACCCACTTATCCAGCGTCAGCTGTTTACATAAATACACCGGCGATGTCACGATATTAGGCAACAGACCAAAGACGCCACCGCACCCCGCATGCTCTGGCTCAGTTGCATGACACCCACAGCCGTCCAGATGGCCACATGGCCGTCCGCCCAACATACTCCCGGACAGCGTATCGATTTCGCATGACTCGCCCTGCAGTCCCCTGTCGAGACCGGTCGCGGGAGGCGAGAGGTCACGGAAGGCCTGAGTTCACGGCACAGGAAGGTCACGGGAGTAGGTCACGACAGAGGGAGGTCACGGGAGTGTGAGGTCACGGAAGGTCTGAGGTCACGGCAGAAGGAGGTCATGGGAGTGGGAAGTCACGACACCGGGAGGTCACGGAAGGCCTGATGTCACAGGAGCAGGAGCTCACGGGGGAGGGAGGTCGCGGCAGACGGAGGTCACAGAAGCGGGAGCTCACGGCAGAGGGGTCACGACAGCAGGAGGTCACGGAGAGCGGAGGGATCGCTTCACGGAAGTCGCCGTTATCACTGGGCTGACGGTCTGAGTCACGGCTGGGTGACGGAGATTATGAATCCGCCCAGAAGTTTGCAGACGGAAGGCTGCCTCGGCCCAGCCAGACACACTGCGCCCGCTGCCACACGCTACTGTCTCGCCTCGCAGGCGGATCCAGCACCGAACTTAGAGGAACCGCGTTCGGTACGCCGCCTAGAACGTCCGAAATCCACGCCTAAACAGACTACAGCTTCCGAGGGACGGGGGTAGTCTCGCTGTTCCTCCCCTCTTAGCTCCCGTGCACCGCAATGACGTCCCGGATCCTCACCACTCTCCCGCTCTCTCGGCCGCTTTGTCCCCTGTCCCTCTCCCCCTCCCCAGAGTCGGGCGTCGGACCGACGGGGGCACGTGAGCCCTCCCCCCCCCCCCCCCCCCCCCCCCCCCCCCCCCCCCCCCCCCACCGGCCCGCTCACCCTGCTTCACGCTGACGTATCTGTCGTTGAGTGCGGCGCTGAAGCTGGCCTGCGGCAGCGAGTTCTCCAGGGTGAACAGCTCGTCCTTGGTCACCGCCTGGCCTCGCGTCTTCAGCACCGCCTGCACGGCAGGAGCGACCGAGAACACTCAGCGTCACGTAAATTCGCCAGCGGAAACAAACAGCCACAGTTTATCACAGTCCAGGGTGCGGTAGCCCTAGCACTTGGCGTTTCACAATGCGGCCCGTCACGCCGGGCAGGCGCCGGCTCGCCCGGCTCGGCCCGGCTGCGGGCGGCGCGCGCGACCTCACCTTGGAGCCGATCGGCGAGAGGTAGCGGCCGGCGCGGTCGCGCAGCGCCAGGCTGCCGTTGTGGTACTCGATGGCGAAGAGGCAGTCCTCCGAGCAGGAGCTCTGCAGCTGCCCGTCGCGGTGCAGGTACAGGTTGTTGCACGTGTGCAGCGCGTAGTGGTTGTCGCGGAACTCCAGCGTGAAGAGCGTGTCCTCGCCCCAGGGCACGTTGGCGTCCACGTGGATCTCGTCCATGTCCTCGGAGAGGTGCGCGAACCGCTTCCGCCCCAGGCTGTACACGTTGACCTGGGGTCGGGCCGCCAGGTGGACGTACCTGGCCGGCGCCCGGAGCAGCGTCAAACGCAGGAGAGGGGCGGGGGAAGGGGTGAGGCGCGGACAGGAGGCGGTGTAGGCGACCTGAGCGAGTTGCATCGGGGAAAGGCTGTCTGTGCCGACACCAGCGAGCGAGCCTGCCCCACCTACAGATTGCATGGGCTTGTAGGGCCGCGCAAGAAGACTCTGCATAATGAGCGCGTGCAACTAGCTTGGGCAACACTGAAGAATGCGGCTCATGTTTGCACCCGGTGACAAATGATTCGTCCCTTTCACTCTCGCAATGCGAGCAATGTGATACCATCCCGGGTCCCGAGCCGGCCCATCGTGATCCGTCCCAACCTAGCGGAAGATCGGCTACTGAGTAAGCGGTATGCCAAGGTTACGTTTGCCGCACATCTGCTGCATCCCACTCCGCGTTCTCTCGACTCGTCATAAGATCCTAGCACAAACAACCAAACGCAAGACGGCACAGGCAGAACGCCATCTCCGGCGTTTCGCCCCACTGTATCACCCGACCAGAACACCGTCGGCAAAGCCAGGACCCCAATCTCGCACTGAAATAACAACTGACCCATACACAGTCGTGAAGGCACGTCATAGAAGACATGAGCCACCAGCGTGTCGAAGCCATTCTCCCAGCCCCCCCCCCCCCCCCCCCGCCGCTGATGCACCCAGCAAATCTTTTTTTGTCATCCAACAAAATCATTCCGATCTGATTTCTTTAGATTCGCCGGCACACGTGGAACATTCTCTCGATGACTTGATGTGGGACTGTGTGTAATGTGTAGTTGTATGTGCGTGTGTTTCGTTAGGTTTTTTGTTTGTGCGTGCATCGTACTTTATTGTTCTTAAAACTCGACTGCTGCCGTAATTAGACTTTTGCCTGTGGAATGCTCATGTCTTAAATAAACAAATCCACGCCCGCTGGCCACAGCCAGAGTCCCCCTCGCCCCCCCCCCCCCGCCCCGCTCCTCGCAGTCCGCCTCAACAGCAGCTGCAGGTTCAGCTCCTCACCACAGCTCAGCATCCGACGGCGCCTTGGCGTTGCAGACCAGCTTATCGCCGGCGGCGCCCATGAAGTACTTGCGCTCCACGTTCTTGAGCGCCCAGCGGCCGCTACCGTCGTCGGCCACGGCGATCTCGAACATGGCGCCCGGCTCCAGCTCGTCGGCCTCGCACGTGACGTTGCCGAAGCTGTCGACGGCCAGGTACTTCCCCAGGTGGGAGCGCAGGCTGACGTGGTCTCGCTGCCCGGTCGGCTGCAGCGTCCACAGCTGCTTCTTCTTCAGGGAGGTGCCTGCGGGAGACACCGGGGTCGGGGCTCAGGCAGTTGACGCAGTGCTTTACGCAAGTGATCTTGGCAACAGAGCCGCCACCGGCGGTGTTCTGCCATTGAACCGGATTTTCCCCGCCGCACAATCCGTCAGATAGCTGTCGTGATGCTGCAATGTTTGCAGTCTGAGCGGTTACCAACGACGTAAAAATGGTCCAAACCATCTAGGTCAGAGGGAACAGATAGTGGGATGATGCCTGAGGGGTCTGTAAGCCGTACGCAGTGGGTCAGTGCATGGACCGCGCTTGCACGCACACGAACTCGATTAGTCTGACTCATATTTTTGATTCGCCATTTAACATGCTCTGCTGGCTGAAAACGCAATGGTTGAAACCAGTCATCCCGCCATACTATGGCAGATCAGCCGCTCTAGTGTCTGGTATTCCCGGTATTACTGCACCTGTTAAGACAACTTCACACGCGCACCGACCGTCCACAAGGGCCGACACCGGCGCCGGCCATGAGACCAGGGGTGGAGCCCCACACCTTTTTCGAGGGTTCCCGCACTCTCCTTCCTACTGCTTCTTAGCTTCTCATCATTGGACGAAATCATCACAAAATGTCCCAAACGACATAAAAACGCATCAAATACAGCGAAGGTTGTTGGAAACCTGGCTTCCGCCACACCGCCGCTAAGTTACATGGAGCCCGCTTGCCGACCTGTCTCAACAGCCCGCGGGCCGACGAGGACACGGTTGGTGTTGTCATATACTTCGCATGAAAATGCTCATTGTCAAGGAGTAATTAGAATGGCACGCAAGCACCATTACGATGTAGTAATGGGTGTCGAAACTAAGCACAAGCATTTGACTCCTATACTAGCACAGTGTTTTTTGAAGTCTTCCTGAGTTTAATGCATTCAACATTTTGAAATGCTTCGGAAATGTCTTACATGCATCATGTGGATAGATGAGAGTTCGATGAAACTGTTTCTGCCACCCATATCAGTTGGTTTTAGAAATTATGTTGCCAAAATGTATTTCCACCACCATCATTAAATTTTCAAAGGAGCTTCTTCTTCAAAACTTCATATCATATGGAGCGTGCACCCCGCAAATATGCACTCCTTCCCGAACCATCATCCAACATTGCGAAAACGTCAAGGAGAAAACCCGCGTGAAACGGATGCAGCGGTGCACGTCGAGCGTGGCTGGCAGAGTCCTCGTTCGCAGCCGTCCCGACCAGCAGCGTCCGTCTCTCAACAGTGACACCCATGCATTGGGCAGACCTCACCAGTGGTTACCCATGCATTGGGGCAGACCTCACCAGTGGCACCCATACATCGGGGCAGACCTCACCAGTGGTGTCCACACATCAGGGCAGGCTCACCAGTGGTGTCCGTACATTGGGGCAGACTTCACCAGTGGTGTCCGTACATCGGGGCAGACCCCACCAGCGGCACCCATACATCGGGGCAGACCTCACCAGTGGTGTTCTGCATCGGGCAGGCCTCACCAGTGGTACCCATACATCGGGGTAGACCTTACCAGTGGTACCCATACACGGGGCAGACCCCGACAGTGGTACCCATACATCGGGGCAGACCCGACAGTGGTACCATACATCGGGGGTAGACCTTACCAGTGGTACCCATACATCGGGGCAGACCCGACAGTGGTACCCATACATGGGGCAGACCCGACAGTGGTACCCATACAATGGGGTAGACCTCACCAGTGGTACCCATACATCGGGGCAGACCTCAACGTGGTACCCATACATCGGGCAGACCTCACCAGACCATGCATCGTGGCCCTCACATCATGGGCCTCAGGCACCTCACCAGTTTTGCCCATACATCCGGGCAGGCCGCCGCCACCCCACCAGCGTAAAACACTGCAGAACCCGGCGAGTGACCTGACTTCAGGATGCGACAGCACACCATTTCACCAAAGAAGCATCAAAATCGCATTCGGGCTTCGAACACTGAGCATAGTTTCCGTCCAGACGCGCTGTGGCCGAACATGATGCGCTGAAGGACGTTTTGGCACAGGCGTAACGCCTTGCCCCACCCGAGTATTGGAACCGCCAGTTCCTTGTCTTGAGTGGGCCAGCTGTCTGACACGTGCTGCGTGGTACGCGGAAACAGAGACAAAACAGCTGGTCGAAATGATTGCTGACCTACGTCGACTGGCGCGGCAGGAAGCATCCATTATTGTGCTAAGTCGCAGGACAACGGCGGAGGAGTACACACAAAAAGAGCTCGAGCTAACAGACGACAGAAAAAAAACAGTCTACGATGGATGGCCTTCGCCGATCGAGCTACAATGGTGTGGAAGGTGAGTTCGCGGGTCCGGCCAGAGACCTGAACAATGCCTTACGCCGGCACCTGCCAGACGTTCATCGACCGCGAACACCAGCGTGACGCGTCACAGATAACACAGATGGCGGGCTGTCGGTCAGCTGAACGCGGGACTGCGCCCGCCATCTAAGCTAAGCAACCACGCGCGCTCGCCTCGGGCTCATTGATCACTTCATGTCTTGCGGCATGCAGTTCGCGAATGTCCGCGCCGCCTGTCGCAGCCGGGACCTACGGGTATAGCAGGCACAGGCTGGAGCGCGCATGCGTCGGGGTTCGGGCTAGTTGCGTTCCAAACACGTCTGAATCAAATGCACGTCGTGATCCCTACTTGTGAACTATTCGCTGGGGTAAGAGAAAGAATACCAGCGAGCGGAATAGCAGACGGAAAAGGCCAACGCTGATCTCAGGTCGCAACGGTCACATACTTCCCAAAAAGCTAATATTACACGCGACGCGATTCATAGACAAACATATTTTAAGTGTGGGCTGCGAACTCACGAGAATCGCATACCAAAAGCAGGATGTTAAAATCATTCTGCCCATGCGTGTCTACCACGGTAGAAGAATCTTGGCCCCGCGTCCGCTTTGTGCATGGAATGCTCACAGACGTCATTCAAGATTTCGCGAAGTCCGGGCTTGTTTAACCTGTCCTCTCCCCAACCCTGTGACGGAGCTCATGTCTTGCACGTAGGTACTGACTGTCTCTTGATTAGGAAGAATACAAAAACACAAGTCGGCACACGGTCAAACGAGAGAAAATGCGAACAAGACTAGGAGAAAAGCGCGAAAGCTAGGAAGCGAGGAATGTGTGGAGCACCGTGGAGGCATCCCAACAACGAAACCCGTGTCTCCATAACTCCGGATCGACCTGTGTTGAAGCCCAAAGGGGGGGGGGGGAGGCATATATCGGGCCGATCTGGCCCCATGATATGGGCAGGACGGCATCCAAAAACGAACACGGATCAGGAGAGAGTGCATCTGCTGAAGCACCATGCGTTCACACGAGCAACAACACGCAAGGAGCCGGACTCTCCACGTGTAGGACCGAACGTTCGACACAATGGACCGCAATCGATGACTGCAACTGCAATGAACCGATCGACCGTGAGATCCAAAGCGGCCCCAAAATAGCCTTCACACCGGTGTAGCCGTGCTTCGAACGGATCCCCGACCGCCGGCGTCTGGTGACCCGTGACGGTGGTTTGGCGTTGTGACAACGTTCAGTGACAACATAGCTGGATAGCAAACCAGCGCAAAATGTCGTAAGTTCATGATGTGTTGCTCGCGGAGGCTTATAGAAATGGATAAGTAGAAACGGCGTTGGAATGAAGCAATCTTTCAATGTTCGCATTCTATGCTGGGTAGGTACAATTGTTATCTAGTTGCTTAATATAATATGCATAGCCTCTGGCCTCGATAACCACACGATGTTTCGACGCTGTGGCGAATGAAATTCGCCCAAGCTAGGTGTGCGTGTGTGTGTGCAGGACAGACATATTTGTTTCGTTATTTCTTTCCGATCAGCGGCCACGGAGCCATTATTACATTTTTAGAAAGATCGGTTCAGGGAACTACCGCTCCTGAAACGACGTATTACACGTTTTAACTAAACTGGATGTTAAGCTAATGGTCTAAAAATGTGGATGTTTGTTGAACCTGACATGCCTCCCGATATTCTTGTGTTGGTTTCCAAATTAACAAGCACAGACAGCAGTTCTGTCAATCCCAACATACACTAGCAGCTCCTTTCCGAAAGCCCATCATAACAAAGTTTGAGAAACACTGAACACTGCCACAGGCTGTATCAGTCGTATTCTTCCAACATCAGCGGCCCCCAGATTCCCGTGGTAGCGTGGCCGAGTGGTCTAAGGCGCTGGTTTTAGGCACCAGTCCGAAAGGGCGTGGGTTCGAATCCCACCGCTGCCAAACCGTTTTTGATGCATTCCAGGTTAGCCTTGGATGCTGGACTGCCTTCAACACTGCGATACCCCCCAACACTCCCTATCACTGTTCCTTATGCTTCTAACCGTTACATTCTTTAAAACAAACGAGATCATTCTTTCATGTTCTTCACACGTGAACAAAAAGCTAATACGAACGAAAGACGACAATGTTCAACCAAAGCAAAGGAAACGGAAACATACCAGTACAGGGGGTCCTCTGAAAGGCAGGCCACGAGGCTGAACAGGTCGGTCCCCGCTCCAACCCAGACAGCAGAGCGTCCCTGGCAGGCCGGCTCGACGACAGTGAGAGTGTTTCCCAGCTCGGGCGGCCAGCGCTGACCACAAACCTAATCAGCGGCCGGTGGCGGCCGGCCGGCACGCAACAGGCCAGGCCGGCCAGACACACCGCCCACGCCACTCAGCACTTGAGGAGAAAAGCTTGTTCCTACACAGGATCCGCAGGTGACTCCTTCACAACATACCCATCTCCCTCCTCCTCCCCCCCCCCCCCCCCTCCCACCCCTCTCAAACACCCACATCGATCTACCCGTCCGTTCTCGCCGAGCCGCGCCGTCTGCGTCGTGGGTGGGAGCACGGGGGTGGCAGCCCTTGCTGCCAAAACGCTCCGCACGCTTGGATAACGTCTCTCGGGCCGATAACGGGAGGTAGGCAACCCGGGCAACCCGGCTGCTGCGCACATAGTACGGCGTATCCACCATACTGCTTAATGTACATAATCGAAAATAAACATCAAATAAAATCAACGGCCGTCACCCAAACTGTGCAACCCACCAAGGCAGAACAGCATACCGCTGCCACTTCGCCCGTGAGTGTGGGCTCACGAGGTCTGGTCTCATCCTGGTCCTGCTATCAGCGTATGCGCGCCCTATGAACCGGCTGCCGCCACCACTTTGATTGTTATGACTGAGCCAGTGACAGATAGGCGCGCGATAGAAGGATGCACACCTGCTGACATATATATTAAGTGCATCTCATGCCCATCTGTGTAACCACTGCTAACGGCTGCGAAGTATACGCCACCTCCAATTTCTTCAACGTGTGATGTTATTCCTCTTTTTTCCTAAAAGATGTCAGTAAAACTTGGACGAAATAGTTCATTCACTCCATTTCCCCGGAAAATTATCGCTTATTACGCGTTCCTCAGTTTAAATGCAAGTGTCATAGTTTGACCCCCAAACGTGATTTCTTCCATCTCGGAGAGGTGATAACACCCACGCGTATTTCTTAACGCCGCCCAAGGGTATCTCTTGCATGCATGCATATAGTGCATGCATGCATGTCGTGCATGTCGTGTCGTGTATGTCGTGCATGCATGCATACATGCATGCACGACATATAGACCGCGCGCGGTATCACCAGAACACCGCAATTTCAGTGCGATGGACTGCCAATCGTGCCAGCCCCCTCCCCCCCCCCCCCCGCCAGACCTCAGCCGCGCCCACTGACCGTTGGCGTTGATCTTGAAGCCGAACGTCTCGGCCGTGAGGTACTTGCTCTTGGAGTTGATGACGCCGACGGTCCAGGCCCGCTCGTCGACCGCCTCCGACGCGCCGTTCAGACCCGTGCTCGAGCCGTTCATCTTGTCCATCTGTCGGCGCCGGCGGCCCGGTTAGCGACGGCGCGGGACGGGCCAGGTCAAGGCCCGACACGCCTCGTAAAATCGGCGCCGCCGTGACGCCAGGTCGGGTCAGACCCAGGCACGTGGCCAAGAACTTTACACAGGACGGCAGCTGTCAAATGTCTCCAAAATCCTGCGAAATCATCCAGTGTCTGATGTGAAGCTCTCCGCTCAGGTGAGGGGCGAGGGGCACGGCCCATCTGGCCCTACCCCTGGCTACGTGACCTGGTAAGATCACGCATCACATCAGACCACGAAGGTCCGCTCACCAGAACCCGTGATTTGCCGGGAGCGTTGGTGCATTGATGTTCATTGATGGAGGCGAATTTGCCCGACCGTCTATGAAAGAATCGTGCAAACACCTATTTGACAGCCGCGTAATAACAAGGTTTACAAGTAACTTGCATTCGAAGAAAACGTCACGGATTGTTCACACGTGATTTGTCTCACCAAAGAAACCGTCACGACTACAAATAGGATATACCAGGAGACGACCCAACAGCCCGGATCAGCTGACCATCTGCGGTCGGGCCGTGTCTCCACGACTATCCCCCTCTCTTTCTCATTGAGACATGCACTTCGCTTCAGTAAACACAGCCCCCAGACGCCTGCTCTGCTCTGTAGGGACGATATATTTACTGCACCAACATAAGTAGCACATTTATCTGTTTCAATACGTCAGCCTACTTTTCACAATACCACACACTGCTTTCAAAAAACAACGCCCGGCAAGCTTTGCGATATGAAGGTACCTTTGAATGTCGTGTGTTTGCCCAGTCGTTAGGCTTTTTGTCTCCGTCTCAGGTATTCGTGACAACGCACTTGCAGATCGCGATCACATATTTTTAAGTACCTTCACAACATGAATGCATTTCTTGTTCACCTGCTCCAGAGGCCTTCAACGGTAAGATATCCTTTGCCCAATACATCCGTTACGTCATGTGGTCTGTCTGCCCATCCGCAACCCAACTCTAATCAGTGGAGCCTACCAGCTCGCATTTGTTCGGCACTTTAGCTGTAAATTGCGGAAAAAGGCGGGAAAGGACATCACCAAGCTTTTGACTCGTGTTGGCAATGCCCAAAAGTAGATTCAATGTAAGTATTGACGACTAACAGACGCGCAAAAAGGTGATAACAGTATTTCTTAAGTATCTATATGGCATTTCGTAAGCGTCTTACCCACACCAATACGCATGCCCATAGCTGTCTCCAAACTGAGCCCAACCTGGTCGGTTGGGCACAGTTTCCTATGGGTGCTCATCAGGTTACCACACGCGTAAGGTCCTCCGCGGTCCGAAGCATGTGCAGACCACGTGGAAGTGTCAGCCTCCCACGCTCAGCTAGTACCAGGGGCATGGTCGTGTGTGGATAGCTCTCAGTGGGATTATGCTATTCCCACAGGAATGGTACCACTGGTCCTGTAATCATGAGATGTCTTGGGGTGAAATGAGAAACACGTCAACGCACAAGGGCGAGAAAACAGGGGTGGGGGTGGGGCTACTGTCCTTCAACAATTATGGGCGACGCACGATAGGAAAGCGGATAAGAAGGCGCATTGCCCTAGCCCTCTACTCCTGTCCATTCATGTGTCTTCTTTGTTCAAAACATAGCGAACAACGGATAATCGCGAGTCCAGTCAACACGGCAACACCGGCAAAACAATTCGGAGCTCAGGCCACAGGTAACCGGTAACCACCTTGCTCTCCCAGACAGGCCTCACAAGACCTGTAATCAGCACCCTCAACAACAAAGCTCTCATTTCAGTGGTCAGATCGCGGCGACCCCAGCAAAGTCCACGACGGGCGAGAGCGAGCGGCACCCGTCTGACCCGGCCGGTACTCCACCCCGGGGGGGGGATTAATTCCCACTCCGGATAGTACAGATTGCACAGCTGCGGTGCAAAAGCATGATACCCAGCACCGTCGGTCGGGTCTAGATCGGTACCCAGGGTACTGGCCGTACCGGTGCCAGTGCACGCCATTTTCGTTCAGTTTGAGCCAAGACTTTTGAGAACGGGACGGTGGGTCGGCCGAAGACTGCAGGTTCACGCCCCCCAGCCCTTCCCGAACAACGAGCTAGTTAGTGGGGCTGAATGAACAAATGGAGCTCGTTGTGCAATCCTAATATCATTTTGTGATGCATCCATATTCATATATTGTATATATAGCATATAGCTTCACTTGAATATTACATTGTCTTCCGGAAGATGACATTAAATTTTATCGTAACTGAACAACAATAACAGAAGCAATTCCGCCGACTTGGAGGAATTGGACAAAACGTCATAAATTCAAGTTCAAGCATCTCTCACCCGAATGCCGGCTTCACGTAAGCGTTCTTCACACCCACCCCACCGATAAAACCAACCACACAAAAGGCGCCAACGCCACAAAACTCCCGCAGGGAAACGACTTACAGGTACGCACAGCGGCCACGTCGGAAGCACCGTCCCAGCACCCGCGCACCCCGTTCCGTCTGTGGCCGTGCTGTCGCCCCTCCGCCGTCGGTCGCGCCGGCACGTCTGGCTCGTGCCGCGCCGCCGCCGCGCCGCGTTTGAGTCACCGGCGTCACGGGTGTCGACACCGCGCCGGCCGCGGCGCCCAGTCGCCGGCGCGTGGGTGGAGGCGAGGGCCCGGCCGTGTAGAGTGGGGGGGGGGGGGGGGGGGACTGCGGCAGAGATTTCAGTGGGAAAAAGAAAACCGCCTGAACGGAACCTGGGATAAAAGCCCGCCGATAAAAGTAGGGCACTGGGACAAGGAGGACTGCAAAAATGCAAAAAGTTAACGCCGTGGGCTAAGAACTAAAAAACTGATCTAAAACTAGGCTATGTAGCGTCTGGTCTAAAACTAGTTCATGAAGCGTCTAGTAGTAAATTAGCCTACGCGGTGTCCGAGTAGTGAGGCGCTGCTGGCTAAGTCGGACAGGATCGGGCTGCTGCAGGTACACATCTGCCGGCCAGTTCGCGTCAGGACTCGCCCGGCCCGCAGTCCAGCTCGCACCACAATCAGTCCACCCGTCCTCTTCTGGCGCGCACCCCGTCAAATAATGGTTCGCACTCAACTCCCCGCCTCTGCTCGTCTCGACTCTTGACGCTGCACGTGGTTATACGGAGCTGGAACGCCGACTGAAGCGCATGACAACGACAGAAGCCGCCGCTCGCGGTGCCATAAATAGCCGGTCAGAGCCCATCGATGACTCGTTTGCATGCGCCTCGGCCAGAATAGCGGAGTGCGTTGCATGCCCACCGTCAGTTCACTACGCGGGCCGCACGCATGCGGCATGATCCGTCCCCTCAGCGCGATGTATGACATACAACGTCCCAGTCTGTGCTTTTTACGGGTGCTTTATGCCCTCCGATCACACATAATGGGGTCCTGAGGCCCAGCGGGGAAGCCGAACCTGCGCATCACCCAAACACCGCGGCCACCATCTGCGCGGCTTTGCTCCTGCAGAACCACAAGCTGGGGGGTCTTCACTGCCCGCGCCCGCTTCTCAAAGCGTACAGGGCCACCGCCCCACGCCACCTGCCCGTCCTCTGCTGCCTAGTACCCCACGCGAAAATCTGGGCGCCGGAAGGACACAGGACCACGCTCCGTCTTCGTCGCCCCTCTGACCACCGGCCGCGAACCACCGCTCGACGACCGAGGGCAGGTCAGAGCCCCGCCGCTGTCAGCTCGTCCCATTGTCTGACCCGCCGCATTGTTTGATGGCGCACACGGCCTGAGTCGTCTCGTCTGCGTGGGACGTCCATCCTGCCCGGTGTCCGTGTCCGTGTCCGTGTCCATGTCCGTGTTCGTGTTCGTGTTCGTGTCCGTGTCCGTGTTCGTGTTCGTGTTCGTTTTCGTATCCGCGTCCGCGTCCGTGTTCGTGTCTGTGTTCGTGCCAGTGTCAGTGTCAATGTCCGTGTCCGTGTCACGAGTCTGTGTCCGCTCGACCGTCCGTGTCGGCGTCAGGTTCAACTACACACCTCATTGGAAGTGGTACAGCGCAGCGTGTCACTCGCCAGATCCCCTCGTCCATGCCGTTCCGGCGTCACTGACTGCCTCAGCGATGCCGTTACTGTCAGCGCCGTTGCAATGTGTTTTCTTCCCTGTCATGATTGCCGCATTTGGTCAGTTTCCGTGCCGGCACCCGAATAAGTGTCGGCAGCGTTGTCAGTTCCCATAATCATCCGCTTGAGTTGTCAGCAGTTGCCAGACACGAGCTCGTCAGTCCCTGAATCAGACAGCTCGGTTTGGACGGCGTAAATGTGGGCGACATGGCTGCGTCAGCGGCCGGTGCAGAGCTACGGGCGCTGTCGACCACCAACGTGTCATGACAAAGTACTTCACGCTACAGCATGACATGTTTTGGTCATAAGGTATGGTCATAAGGTAGGGTCATGGTATATAACGTAAGGTGTGGTTATTGGTTGAAGTTACTTTGTACGTATGCACTTTGCTTCCCAGCCTCAGTGTCGCACGCCGTAAGCAGCGGGGCAAATTATTCTTCAATAAAAGACAGGCAAGGCGGGCACCTCCGTCAACAGGAAACCGACAAAGTACCTGATGAATTAATTGCACCGCTATTGCCAGCCACAAAACGCCATGCAACCAGCACAATCGTTTGATTGACGCAGCGAGACAGCTGGCACGCTGCCAAATTGCACATCAGCGCGGCGATCGCGATTTGGTGCCGATTGCACGCGCAAAAACCTGCACAAAGACTCTCAGGCAGCCGCCAGCTGCCATCCAGCTCCGTAGCGGCAAACAAAGACGACGGCGAGCAACCCGGCCGAAAGTCGGGTTGCTCTCATAACCCACCAGAACGAACCTGCGCGCACGCAGACTGGTCAGCGGTGTGCAGAGAACATCAAAACCTCACGGGTTGCCCTTCCTCGCACACCCATCCCCCTAGCGGCCGTCGCATGTAAAAAAGACGGGAAAATTGCGAATGTCTCTCCAGCTTTTAACAGGGGACCGAGCGCATGGATAAGCCCATTCACTTTCTGTGGACGCACCCCTGTCTTCGGGTTTCCATACGTTCGTGCTGAAAAGATCGTAATACCGGAAGCGAACAGATAAGCCGCTTTGTGACGCTTCGGCCAGGCAGCCCTACCGGACATATGATAGGTGAACAAACATTGCGACTCCGAGCTGTCCTCAGAGCACACCCATCCACCAAGACAACAGACAGCAGACAACTGACAACAGGCAACAGACAGAGCATCCCTGACAGCAGACACCGCAGGACAGGCAGCAGGCGGCAGACACAAGATAGCGGGGAGCTCTCCGACACACGCACGTCGACTGCTGACAGCAGACACCGCAGGACAGGCAGCAGGCGGCAGACACAAGACAGCGGGGAGCCCTCCGACACACGCACGTCGATTGCTGACAGCAGACACCGCAGGACAGGCAGCAGGCGGCAGACACAAGACAGCGGGGAGCCCTCCGACACACGCACGTCGCGTGCTGGGTGGGGACTCCCAGAATACTCCCGGCAGCTCGGCTCTATTTCCGCCCGGTTGCTGCGGCGGCAGCGGCACAGGGGAGCCTCGCGCTCACACCAGACGACGGCTGAGTGTGGGCAGACCGGCCACCGTCGGGAACAATTCAGGGGTCTGAACGCCGAGGGACGGCACAGTCCGCGCGCAGCCAATGAAGGTGTGACCGTCGGAGAGCAACAACTCCGACCCTATAGGCCAAGGATGACACTGGAAGCCCAGCCACGATTGGAATTTGCTGCTGCAGCCAACGTGATTATCCTGAGCGAGCAAAAACGGCAAGAATCTCTTATCACTTCCTGACATTGAGATGACTGCATCAACTGCTCCATCAGCTGACTGAGAAACACATTGACTGCAGTAAGTCATATATGACAAATTTCCTCAACTGGGTGCAACAAAGGTGATGACTAGCAATAACTAGCAAACGTTCAGTTAAGTTACACGACGGTACGGAAATATTCTGAAAGCAATCACAACTGTCATAATTAAACGAAACAGAATCGTGTCGTCCACGAGGATAATTATCAGTTATCACTGGCAGTGAATCAGCAGCGACATACTTCCATATCTTATCCCCAAGGGTCAATTTCTTAACATTCAAGATTTCATGCGCAGCATGCAGTGGAACTGCACATGAGTTTTCGTCTACTTGCTGACGTCCCTAAGGCCCGGGCAAAGCGCCAAATGAGGGCCCTGGAAAACGCCACTAACGTTACACGCGACAGCCGAACGGGAGGACAAGACGAACATGACGTATGACAGTGGAGCAAGAGCAAAGAAATGTCAATAAACGCTGACTAGACTCGGACTCAGTCATCAAATTTTGTCAACACTGCATAGACGGGAACGTACGTGTTTCAAACATGCGAACAAAGCTTCAATTTAAACAGAAACCACAAGGGACGGTTTCGACGCTTTATTACATATGCCTCGCTATTTCTTCGTCGGTTTCCTCAATAATCGTAGGGAGATTAGGCTGATAAAATTTAATTGGAGTCATGCCCTTCACACTGCTCAAAAACGACATCGCAAGACCATTTTCCTCGAAATACTTGAGTATGTCGTGCTTTAGGTCATGTTGTCTTCTTGCGTTGCTTTTGTTTACGTACCCTGCTTGAGATTTGCACTTGTTGTGGAAAATATTCGACAGGTCCATCATGTGTGACTTCAGCGCGCTTTTCCTTTCCTTCGCTGCCAATGTCCGCGCCGCCAGGTCCAGTTTCGGGTTCGGTGTTGTGGACGCATTCAGCGTCAGCCGGTTCATCTTCTGGATGGCCTCCTTCAGGCTAGCCCTGCCGTCGCCCTGAGACATCTCTTTACTGGTGCTGGCCTCCTTCAGCCGCCATTTCTGATAAGCGGGGTGCATCAGGGAGGGCCGCATGGTGAGCCGCGATCCACCGGTCACCGTGCCGTGCGTCAGGCTGGTGAGCACGCCCTGTGGCACGCTCACGCTGAGTCCATCCTGTGTCCGCACACTCAGTTTCTTCAAAGGCTTGGAGTCGGCGCTAATCGAACGCTGCTGAAACTTCCTCCTCTTCATTCCCAACGGAAAGAGGGTCATCGAGGAGGAAGACAATGGTGCCATTGCCTTATTGGGCGCGACAGGATCCTCGAAGGAGAAAACTGGCATGATTAAATAAGAAACAAGTTTTTACGATACAATTTCAGAACTACTAGAGAAAATGCTCGCAACAATAAACTGTGCCCTTGCTAACGTGCTACAAACAATCGTCCTTTTCATAAACAGCGGCAGATAGTTATTCGTCACCAGCCCATCCATTCCCCTAAAATCAAATTTGAGCTGCCCATCGTTTGACTGTCTTGTCTCATACGTACCGATTTCCGCGAAATGGCTGCACGGCACGTGCAGGGGCGTAAGGATTTACTTCCTGGTGTGAGATGCATCGCATTGCAGAAAAAGTAGAAGTGAACCGAAATCAACGATATGCTTATCGATACCATGCCAACCGATGAAATTGATGTAAAAACGATAATCTTTCAAGCAGCTTTTTGGCGCAAAGGCTTTCGGGGATTACTTTCTCTATGCATGTACCACCCTTGGTTAATGAACTGACTAAACGCTCATGTAACTAATCAAGTTTCATGTCAGCCGCCTGACAGAAGCAAGTTATTTAACCAAAAGTGAGCAAGGGATAGGAATGATCCCAAAAGCTACCGTTTAATAACAACAGCCTGTTGGAAATATTACGTCTAATCCTGACGCACAACGCGCCGGTTCGAGATTATCAACCGATACACATTGGTAAACGAGCTCAAATGCATCACAGCCAGGCAGTCACAGCACAGCAAACCTGCACGGCCAGCTCAGGCCAAAGGCGCCAAAAAAGCACGTAGCAAAAAGTCGACGTGAGCTATATGCGGGAGCTCTCTGGTGAGACCATCCCCTTAACCAATGATGGACAAGGGTGGCAGCGTTGTGTGGCATAAGAATTGAAGGGGCTGTGAGGCAAGGAATCGTCGCAAATCCATCTGGGGTAGGTGTTTCAGCTCAGGCGACTAATTCCCGAAAATCACGCTTCCAATGCAACTAATCCCCGAAAATCGCCCTTTCCAGAGGAATAATCCCCGAAAGTCCGTCACCCTAGAGCTCGACCAAAGTCCGCACAGCGCCCCGTGTCGCCCAAATCTCCTCAGCTAAGCCTTCGACAGGACACATGACGCGGGCAACCTTAGACGCTTCAACAGGGACAGCCACACGATAAGCCAAAGAGCTCGTTACAAGACCCACAGGTGTAACCCGATTGTCCGTTATTATCCCACTATCTCATCAGGTGCTCAATCCACGGGAGGCTCCGGCACTACAGCGGGGTGGGGGGTGGGGGGGGGGGGGGGCACATGTCAGCGTGACTGGTACTAAACCGAGTTCATCCCAGCAATCTGGTCGTTGTTAATAGGGTTGATAAAGCGGGAGGTGGCTTCATTGCGGCGAAGGACTCTGATGCGCCTCCTCTGATGGTAAAATGGCACATTCACGCAGAGACGGCCGTCGTGTCCATCTGATCTGTTCCTGCTACTTTGTATTGCTCGCAAGTCGGATCCGTCGAGGGGGTTTTCTTCCAAACATTGAGTCAAATTTCGAATAAAATGCCAGCTTAAGACGGACTAAATGTTCGCCCTACAGTCCTCGACAACCTCGGTCTCTGTCGTCGAAATCATGTCTGCACTACTGTCCTCGAGTAAATGTCCGCACTGCTGTTTCATACGAGCACCTGGGCAATCTGCACTGCCAAATCGACCCAAGCATTCTGCAGAGCACTTTTTTCCTTATCATGTACATCGCCAAGTACATCAACGCAAATACACAAACTAACAACTGACCCACTCAAGGCGGCGAGGGATAACTGCGGTGTGCCGTTTTTCGCTCGGGCGTAGAAACCCATCGATCCAAATCCAAACCCGTACCTGCCGGAGAAGTCGGCCACAGTGCCCTCCCATCAAATACCTGATTTTTTTTTGCAGTCAGTTATTCACACCAGCGAACGGAAGCGACGCCGGAGCATGCGCTTAAGACGGAAGGATAACAAGATCCCGGGTTCAAGCCCAATGCGCAGCCGAATAATTCGCTGTCAAGGTTAGTGTGCAAACATGACGGCGAGTTACGTTCTGGGGCGTATCGTCAGCTTGCCTTACTTTACACCGTGACGTCATGAGTGGCTGGACGCGACAAACAGCCCATCATGCCACGCAAACCAAGCAAGGTATCCTATAAGTTATGGCCTTCCTTGGTGAACGCCAAAAGAAAGCTTCGAAACAGCTGTACGCACACCATTATTTCATGCAGTGCTTCTTCAAGGTGAAAAACATTGTTTGCATCTCGACAAAACGCTGCGGACGAAACACAGGTATATATAAAACTGCTTGGAAGCGTCCCTGTTACTTTGTTTGAGGAAATATCAAAGCTAATAGAATACTACGCTGACGTTTCGCCCCGACGTTTAAACAGACACTCAAAGTGTAACCTAACGAAAAAAGAGGAAGGGGCAGATGCCAAACCGGCTAACACACACAATCACCGTCAACTATGCAACAGCCCAACATCAGAGGCTTACATGGTGCAACGCTCGCAAACACAACATGAGAAACTGCTACCTCGCCCAGACCAGCCTCGGGTCGAAGAGCACCCCACCGTCTGCCGCCGTTCTTGGCGCGGTCCGCCAGCTGCCGGGCGCCGGCCACTCACGTAAGGTCGGATGAAGCCCATGTCGTGGAGGTCGGCCCACTCCTCCGTGTCCGGCAGGCGGCAGATCGACATCACCGGCATGGCGACGGGTCACGAGAGGTCGCGGCGACGACTCCGAGTCACGACTGCGCGGCGCAGGACACCCGAGCGCGACTGCCTAACGCGGTTGCTGTTCGGAGACATGGGTCAGCGGCGGCACGCGCGCGCGCGCAGGGCTGCTGTCAGAGCTGCCTTCTATTCAAAAATCGTCAAAAATAGCTATGTTTACGAAATGTAACGTCTAAGAGTCGTTACCAGGATGAAAGTGGGAGGCAATCGGTTAAAACGGACGGTATGCTGGTAAGAACGGATTTCTGAAACCAAAGTGAAGCTACGAACCCACATCTAGTTGGAAACATGGCAATGCCTCATACGTTGGCTCCCTGAAAACGCATTCCGAAGCTGGGCACGGAAGTGTGACGTCCTTTAAAACACGACGCGCGCAAGCGCAAAAACGAAGTGAACTTTGAAACAGCAACCACGTACGACAGTGAGCCGGCCGAATACCAAAATCCTCCGCGGCGTCTTTCACCGGGCCGCCACGCCCGCTGCGCGCTTCCACCCACCTCTCCGGCACACTCCCGAGTCGCAAGTGCCTCCTCGCCATGCGCTCCGTCGGGCCCGACCAAGTTTCCACCGATTTCCTCTTCCACAGCGCACCCGGGCGTAAAAAATCGAACAGCCTGTCCGCGCGACGGCGGCTCGGCTCTGGCTCCGGCCGCGGCCGGTGGCGGCGACCGGCGCGGAGCCGCGGCCGCCGCCGGCCGACAGCAGCTGGACGGGGAGATGACCGTTCCGTCGGACAGCTGCCGCGCCAGACAGCGGTAACTGTCGCCGACGACGCCGGCCGCGCCGGCAGACGCCGCTACATCTGGGGCGGCGGCTCGCGGCGAAACCCCCCACCCGGTCTGCGCAGGTCGCCGACCCGGAGGGCGGCGTGGGATATTCCTCTTCCGGGGACGTCGAGCGCTCTCTCGGCACTAAATGTCCAGGGCACTGGCAAGCGATGGGCCATGGGCGCACCGTCCAATTTTTCACGTTATAGGCCTCCACGCCTGTCGGGGGGTCGGTGACTCGGACCGAATGCGCAGTACGGGGGATTACAAAGGAACTCAGAGGCTATCTAATGGAACGGCACAGGACCTATTGGGGACACTACAGCTATCAACAGTGAACAGGGCTACGCTACACTTCCGAGGGCCGAGGAAAAGGCCGTCGAGATTATCGGCACTGGGCACACCAAAACACGTGTTTCGAACTGGTACGAAGAATAACCCGTCACAAGACTGAACGACCGCACGACTGATGAGGACTGACAACTGGCACTGAAATCAGCCAGCACCGCGCCAAGGCTCAAATGCATCACCGGAGACATTGAGTACCACTCGAACTGCTGCCACACTGACCGAACAACGACGTTACCAGCACACACCATTATGCACCTGCACGAGCACGCTTTCGACAAACATCTGTGTCGCCTCCACAACAGAGAACTGAGACAAAAGCTGCTGGAGATGAGCAGGAGCAGGAGCGCTAGAGGGCTCCTGCCATCCTAGCGCGGTGTGAAAACAACATCAGACATCGCGTCCGGAGCAGTTTTACATCAGAGGTCTGATAGCACATCATTTAGCAAAGCAAATGAACTTGCGTATTCTCTATTAATTTTTGACAGGCAGAATGCAAGTCGTGCTTATGTGTACTGCACTTGAAATGTTTTTACGAGGTCACGTTGTTTTCTGACCGTTAGCATCGTACTAAATTCGGATACGACGATATATATGTAAATATGATAAGATGTAAAAATGATGTAAATATGATGTGATCATATTTACTGAGTCGATATTATGTAAATACTTTCGGACTGCAAGGATTTGTTAGTTGCAGTGATCGAACATGCTATTTTTATATTGAAACGACACGAAAGGGTTTGGTTGAACGTATTCATATTGATTTACCTCACGTCATCTAGAGTAACAAACGCCGCCATCGACGTTGAAATTTACATTTTTCCTTAGCTACGCAACTGATATGCTGTGAAACGAATAGTATATTAGCAAACTACACTTCGTATAGCACTGCATGTGGCCTATTCAGTCCTTCTGTCGGTGGCTGGACGCCAAAAAAAAAAACAAAAAAAAAACGCAACGCCTCCAATGCTGCTGCTCACAATTGGAGCCTCTTCTCTCCTCTTACTGGGGTCTACGTCTTGCGAACAAACTCACAAACCCGGCAAGACCCGCTGGGCGCAGTCCCCACAGTGCAGAACATGAGGACCGAACGCGACATCTGAGACACCAAGATCTCGGTAATGCCTTCGCATAATGGACAGCACGGTAAGACCTGGACCGTCACCGCCAGACGTCCTGACCTGCCTGCGTGCTAGCCCTGGCCGAACTTAGACGTTTCCCCGCTTCGAATTCCCTTCAAAACTCCGCAGCACAGCCGCGCCGTCGGGGCGTCCACCGTACCAAATGCCATCGCTATGACTCTCTCGCCATCACGCACGCCAGCGGCCCCGGGGCTGCAGAGGGCCTCAGTCCTGTGCGGGGCTCGGTTCCGCCGTAACACACGTCAGTGGCCCCCGGGGCTGCAGAGGGCCTCAGTCCTGTGCGGGGCTCGGTCCCGCCGTCACGCACACCAGCGCCCCCGGGGCTGCAGAGGGCCTGAGTCCTGTGCGGGGCTCGGTTCCGCCGTCACGCACGCCAGCGGCCCCGGGGCTGCAGAGGGCCTGAGTCCTGTGCGGGGCTCAGGCACGTCCGGTCACACATCTGGCCCCCGTCTCCAGCAATCAGCGGCTGTTCAGAGGCGACCGGTCGCGGCATTCCAACTATGCGGCGACGGAGGCGGCGCGCGCGGGCACGTCCCTGATTCCTGGCGCGGGGGTCGGCCGCACGCCGCGCCGGCAGCCGCGCTGGCAAAGCAGCCCATCCAGGGCGCGGGGCGTCGGCAGCGGTCAGCGACTACCGAGTCCACAGGGCCGTCCGACGCAGCGCCAGCGGTTACGGCATGGCCTTATCCCGCGGCTTCAGAGACGGCGACCGCCGTGGCCACCGGACGCTGCGGTGTGTACTGTACATAATCCGGTTAACCCACAGCAGTAGGACTATTCGCAGAGCCTCGTCAAGTAACATGGTCGCAGCACAGGCCGCATGTGACTAGAAGCATCGGGCAACCCTCCCACCCATCCCACCCATACAACGCACGCGACACACGCCTGCTGAAAAGAAAGTCACGCTTGCCGAACATGTTGCGAATCCTAGTTTTGAATTGACGCTATGAGGCGTCGGGCAGACCCTGCGTGATTGCTTTCTCGCTGCACTGCCGCGGCGCAGAGGAAGTGTGGTTTAGTGGACCTGACTAGGCCGCTCGTCCATCGAACAGCGGCAGATTGGGGCCGTCCACCGCAGGGAAATTGGTACTCAGCACAGGGCGGCGCCCGTTATCCATACTGGCCAACGGCATTTCAGCTCCACAAAGATGGCATGCATCCGCTGGCTGTGGGTCGACGCCTGGGTGAACTGGGATGGGAACGGAAACTTTCAAAGGACAACGGTTAAGGGCTGGACTGAATTTCAAAACTGGTCAGGTTCAGTGGACTGAAACAAGGCAAGTAATTTTCTGTGAAATTGCGTTAAGGTGTAATGAACTCATTTGAATTATTGCGGAACATATTTTGTGCCTCGTCGAAGGCGGCATGACGGTATTGGAACGCATGGCAAAGGCGTAAATGTGTGGGCGGACCCATTATTGCCAAAGGCGATTTGGGATTGGCGAAAGGCGTAGGCTACCGACAGACATAGGCATCTAATATTATAATCACGATTTTTCCAGCCCCTCCATATATACAGGCAGCTGGCTACGACTGAGAAGGTCGAGCAAAACTGTTTGTGTTGGCAGCAAAGGTTCATACCAGACAGTCCCAGAGCGCGGCATTTTTCTACGATCTAACAAAGTTACCTGACCGCAAACAATCTCTGCAGTCAGCGCACTCTTGCAACACAATTACTCCTACTTCTGCTACTATTACTACCACTTCTACTACCAAAGTTGTCTTCGAATGAACGATCTGTGGCATGGTACATACATGCCACGGAGATACACAGCTTCCTTCCTGATGTATTCAGCATGTCGTAGGCGGACCACGGGTGGCCGATTGGCGGCATACCTCTACTACTTCTACTACTTCTACTGCCAAAGTTGCTCTTTAAATGAACGATCTATGACATGGCACATACATGCCACGGAGATGCACAGCTTCTCTCCTGAATATGTTATATCCTGATATATATTCTGACATCCTGAGTACAATATATCCTGCATGTCGCAAGCGCCCACGGGTGGCCCATTAGCAGCATACTTGATCGCCCTGCCTGCACTGCCAGGACGGCCTACGGGTCATATCTCCACCAACCGGCTTCCAAGCCCTGAGGCACTGTCCCTTAGCCGTCTGATCTCACCCTGGCGTGCATGCCCGCATGGCGGCTGCCCACCCAACAGCCCGTTCAAGTCCCCAGCAAAACAATCTGGCTCAGTCCACTCATCAAGCTGTCCGTCAATACCCAAGAGGGGAGAAGGGGAGCTTTATAAACGCAAGGCGCAACGGCCAAATCACAAGCCAAGTGTTAACAAACTGCTCGTATCGGACGAAAAATAACATCTCGAGAGAGTGCATTCAAAACCATTGCCACACTTTTAAACCGGCGCATGCAGCAATGAACATCACTGAATGTCGGCACATTTCCAACCTTGTCCATGCGCATCTGCGCGTTCTTCACAAAAAGAGCGCAGGCCGACCCAGCGCCTGTCGTCACGACGACCTCACTGTCCGCTCCACTCCACCCTCCACGCCCGCACGGGCGGGGCCGCTCCACACGCACCACAGACCACGCGTTGGCCCCTCGCCGCACGGGCTGTCAGAGCCCGAAGCTGTGTGGCCGCGGCAGCGACGCGCGCCGTGCCAACATCGAGCGCGCCGCGACGAGTGTCCGTCGCGTGCGACGGTGCGACGGTCCGGCCGGCGGGCACTGCGGGGGGCGAAGGACAGTCGGCCGCGGTCGGCGCGTACCTGCTCTCCGAGATCGAGGCCGGCACGTACCTGCTCTCTGAGATCGCGGCCGGCACGTACCTGCT